AAGATCGCATTGGAAGGAGAAGGCCGCATATCGGAGCGAGTGGATCTCCTGTGGAAGCTGCTTCTGAATTGGATGGAGGAGATCCGCAAGGCTGATTTCATCATGTTCGCATGTCACAGTCAAGGTGTGCCAGTCACAATTATGCTAGTTGCAAAGTTGATACAGTTTGGCTGTCTTGACGCCAAACGAGTCGGCATCTGCGCTATGGCAGGTGTGAACCTCGGCCCCTTCCCGGATTATCGGTCTCGATGGATCAGTGGATCGGCTGGAGAGCTGTTCGAGTTTGCACTGCCTTTCAGCAAGGTCTCGAAAGAGTATGAAGCTGCTCTTAAATGTGCTCTCAATTTTGGTGTTCGCATCTCTTACATTGGAAGTATTGATGACCAACTCGTTTCACTGGAGGTGAGTACATATATTGATATTCAAGCATCTATCAATATGCTAACTCGCTCCCAGTCTTCCCTCTTCTCGCCCATAACTCACCCATACGTGTACCGCGCTGTCTTCGTGGATGGCCGAGTCCACGCCCCAAGCTTGTAAGCAACCCCCTCACCCACCCCATCTCGATTAACAATGCTAATATCAAAACATAGCCTCTCTCATCTAGTTGGCTTCGCCCTCAAGCTTCGCAACCTTGGTATCCCAGACCACGGTCTAATTCGCGAACTAAGCACCCCATTAGCGGGAAGTCTATACTCAGGAGAAGGACATTCTCGGCTGTACGACGATGAAGCCGTGTATTTGTAAGTAAAAGTCTTGAATTTCCACACGCGTTCAAAACTAACATCACCTTCTAGCATGGCCATAGAATTCGCACTGGAGACTTCTTCAGTCCCAGACTCCTTGCTCAGCGTCAATCGAGCCAGCAGCTCAGTCACGCCAAACCCTTACATTCTCCCCTTCGCCATGCGTGGTCTTCTGGAAGAGGAATACGTGCGCCAAGAACTGCACGACGAGACTATGGAACTGCTCAGGCAATTCGACGACTGGAAACCTTCTAGTAAGGTTCTGAAAGATGTCAAGTTTAGACTAGAAGGTATTCGGTCCAAGCTCTAGCGAGGCTTGTTAATTAAGAATTGGAAAGTATCTTGCTTGGATGGAGAGGAGATTTGATATTAGCGGTTTATTAGATGGAAATACACGTTCTCTTTAAAATACTTGCTGCCCGTCTGCATATAAATACAATTATGAAATTTATGTATAGCAAGTGGATAATAATGCCCTTCTCAGTCGTGATCGAATTGTGGTACAAGTTCTATTCCGTATGCATATGAGCCTGTCTACCAACGAAGGGAATCATATTTGTATTATGTCTGAGATGTCAAAAAAAAAAACGCCGAGATTCTGCTGATTGAGCACGAAATAAGAATAGTGGAGAATCCAGTCGTAAAAAGAGAGGAGGGGATCATTATAAAAAAATGTGAATGGCAAGCTCGAAAGTGCCGAGAAAAGAAAAAACAAGTACCTCCCCATTAAATGGATGCTAGTTGGAACGCCGTTTTGTATGCACCCTCGATTTCATCTAAGATAATGTTAGCATGGGAACAGCATACCAGATGAAGATAGTAACACCAACCTCTCATCCCATCCAAAGCCTCAAAAGCAATCGAATAATTTGACACGGCCCCGATAATCCGCTCTAAACCCTGCCGTAGTTCCTCAATGAGCTGGCCGGTCGAATCTCCGCCATGCTCATTATCCGGGCTGTCAGGCGCAAGCTGCTTCGCCACGCGCGCCTTGTAGTAGATCATGAACATGGCATAGCTACTTTGCATCAGACAGCATGCGAAAGAGGGCATGGTCCGAGGTAATGGACGACCCTGCTGCTGTTGGGGCTCTAAGAGAGGCTGTGGGACAGGCAGACTGTGGAACATGCGGGAGATGACGAGCGAGGCCTGGAGGCAGATTTTCGCAGACTGCTGTGTGCTGTAGGGGAAGCCGGGCGCGAATGGATATTGCGAGTACTGGGGCACGTATGAGTTGATTCCCGGATGGATGTCTGACGAGGTGGAGGAATCGGATGGGGTCATGTATTCTGTTGAGGTTGCTCGTTCGAAGGTGCTTAGGTTTGAGCAAGAGCAGGTGACGTTGTGGATGCCAGTGGGTTTGGTGCTGACGGTTGTGTTAGGGCTGCTTTGATTTGCTGCTGTCAGGTCGCAATGTCTTTTGATGAAGAGGGGGATGTCGGAGAAGGCTCGGAAGCGGTGCGTTTTGATTTGTGCACTGGAGCCATTTGTTAGTTGGATTTACATAGGTATGGGAGGGCGGTTGGGTCGTACCTGGATAGTTTGATTCGGGATATTGCGCGTATGCTTTGGGCTGTGATGGATTCGTTGTGATCGCCGAAATCCGATGTCTGCGGCAGGAGGGGGAGTAGCTCTGCCTGCGCAATCACGGAGTGGGTCCAGGCATCGAGTTGCTGCATTCGTTCGAACATATAGTACATCCCTGATTGGGACGCAAGGCACTTGTTCAGATCACCAATAAACTGGGTTGCTGATACAAGCACTTGTTGAGCTTGTATAAAAATAGACCAACCCTGAAGACCGGTTAGCAGATGCAAGGTAATCAAGAGGTCTTAGAGTGCAAACCTCGGCATCTGATGAAAACGATGGATATGGAGTCGTAAACTGCGGGTCATTGACAACAATAGCAGGCATCTATTTCTTTATTAGCTCCAGATCATGTTCGAAGAGCTATATTACTCACCGTGGTGCTAACAATAGATCCTTGCATCACACAATAATACTAAACCACAATTAGTTTAGGAATGAACGAAAGATGAGGAATACAAACCGTCATCCACCAGGCTCTTCGTCGAGCTTCTGAAAATTCATCATTCCCCATTTGAGCATGAAGTGACTTATCCAAAGCAATCGCAAGAGCCTGACCAGCACGATATCGCATCTTGAGCAAGTTACCGCGTTGGGAGTATTCATAAACTGAAAGCACCAAGAGAGCCAGAAGGCACTCATAGTCCACCGGAGTTTGCGAGTGGAATCTTTCCCGTCCGACAAAAGGTCGTGCGGCAGACAATGCCTGTCCAGGATCAGTGGAGGACATATCAAGATCACACTCCGTTTCGATAGTTGAATGGGCCAGTTGGGCAAAAGTATGCGCGTACGTTCTGCGCTGGATTACAGACGCTGCGGATGATGGCTCAAGATCTCTTGGATGTGGAATCAAAGCTAAGACTGCAGATAGGGCAAGACTTAGAGGCGAACGGGGCCGGTACATCATCGTTGGTTCAGATGTACTCGAACATGGAACAGAGCAGTTCAAAGGCCGATCTCGGCACGGCGGTGATGCCCGTGGCGGAAGAATGGGGAAATAGTTATGAATGAAGTCATAATAGGCATTCAATCTGGGGTTGTTAGATAATGCACAGAACATATTGTAGAAAGATACTTACATTTCGGGCTCGCTTCCATAGGTCCTTACGAAAGGTTGAGCGCTGTTCAAGGGCGGTGACATCAAGGGCACCTGCATGTGCGACTGACTACCATCGCCAGCGAAGAAGCTCTGGAACATAGACGGAACTTCGGATTGGAAATCTAGATGCCTCAAACCTGCTCCAGGCAGAGAGAGGTCATCGATTTGGTTGAACATCCCCGGTGCTAAACTTCGGTGAGTATATCACTTCTTTCCTTTTTTTTTTTTTTTGACATGAGGGCGACGACATACGTTCTTCAAACTCCGGGGGTGATGGGATAGCATTATACAGAGCATCATCTTGCGTCGATTCCTGTTCTGGTGACAGGGAGGACTTTTCTTTCTTTTTGCGTGGCCCGCCTCGTTTGCTGGGTAAATAAGAGCATTCTCTGTCTTTGCTCACACACTAAGGTGAATGTCAGTCCATGCAATGAACATTGATCAATCCAGATCCACAATAAACAAGCTCCAAAAGCACTCAAAGTACAAATAACACGTACATTTGCGCATGGCATCTGGCCGCCACATCGTGTTCTCGAAGCCCGACTAGAATAAGATTAGTGGAGAAGTTCCTCTTTTTTTCTTCGCGGGATTTGCTCACCAAGGCAGACAGGCTACCTTAACTGGCGGTTTAGCAAACTTCTTGCGAACCGACCGAGGCGCTGTCGAGGCCAGTCCGTTATAATCATGAAAAGTATCGACCATGGTGATACTAAATATTGAGTGTACCTCCAATAGTCTACAGAACCATTAATTTGAAACTGCACCTCCTGGGTGTCTTTGCAACCGAATACTAGTTGAGATGGAGCATTCTGCGGCTTAATAAAAATCGCAAGTCCGAAAGGGCGCTGATATAGAGACTTCCGTGTGATTGCTTGATCTTCGCAAATCCCGAGCCGTGGGGAGGTTCGGGATTTGCTTTTCGTAACTAAGCAAAGAGGCGATCAGGTCCAACCCCAAATTGGAGTGATAGTGGCAGAATTCAGGGTGTATATAGGGTATTCGAAAATGATGGGTTTCATTTTATTGTTTATTCTTTTGGTCTTTCTCAACACATAAGTCCCTAGGAATGGAGAGAGAGAGAAAGGAAGGGAAATTTGATGTTCTAAGGATTTCAAAGTTCGGATGTGAACGTACCGATACGAAAGATACTAGTATTAATTAACTTTGGAGTGGCAGAAACATGTAATTTTACCTGTCTGAAACAGGTTATCACGTGGATCCACCATTGCTTGCGCTATAGAAGTGCGATGATGTAGTTCTCCAGGCTTATTCAGCATGGCTTTCTCTTCCAACCTTGGAAGGAACCTCCGAAGGTTCTCACTAAGAGGTTCGGAAATAATTCGGACACTGGAATATGAAATATGAAATATCAAATATCAAATATCAAATACTTCAAAGTTCTATAAGGGGAATCTTTAAAACTATTTCCAAAAAAAAGATACGGAATACGTAGTATACGCTATATAATTATGGAGTAAATGATTTGGAATACATGTTCATGCTAGGCATTGCCGATCGATGTCAATCGATTATCCACAGGTGCAGAATCCGATTCGTCATTAGACTTAAGCGTGGGCCTTGCCTTTCCCAAGGGGGAGCTTAATACCCGCAACATACCGCACGCTATCCCAGACACTGTCCCGAACTTTCACAGGGAGCTTGTGTCCCTTCAGGAACTGGTCGATCAACCACATTCCGACCACAAATTCCTCACGCACCAAAAGTCCGATATTTTGGTGATCGACTAAATCCCACACTTGCTCCAAAATCGTTTCTGGTAGGCGACTGCGGGACCAGATCTCCCGAACCACCAGGTTAAGAACCATATCTGAGGCATTAGGGGGCCATGGCCCAGTTCCACTGGGATCGGGAGGGATGAGAAGCCCCTTATTAGACGCCCAAACACCTTCGTAACGTTTGCGTTCCTTCTCGGTGATCTCGCGTCGCCAGCGCTTACGGTCGCCCTCCTTGTGTTTGTGGGGGTGTTTGTGCAGGGGGTTTCTGTGTTTATGGTGGTCGGCATCGGTGGGTTTCGGCATGCCGCGGAGGGTCATCGGCATGCTCTTCGACGGACTTGGTGTCCTTGATAGATCTGTCTTGGATTGGTGTGCGAAATGTAGAATGGATCGTGCCCCTCGTCGCTGCGGCGGAAGCGGCGGGGGAACCCTGATAGATGGAGATGCTCGTGCGGATGCCAGGGATGAGGCGATAATAGCATTGGAGAGCGATTCCTCGCTCATGCCGATGGAGTCGTCTATTATGCTAGAGGAACTTGTCGTATGTGACTGGCCTGATATAGATAACTCGCTCGGTGTCGATGGTCGGCGTACTGCGACAACTCCATGGTTTCTCATAGACCCTCGTGATGGAGGCAAACGCGGCGGAAGCTTCGGTTTCGACTCATCCGTCGGCACAGAGGAATTCCGAGATTCTAAGGAGGGATGGGGGCTTGGGTCTCGACTATCCTGATAATCGAGAGTTGTCCTAGATCGTTGGGATGGAGAGTGCCCGTAGATAGGCAGATGCGAGTCAGACTTTAAGCCATTTTCATGCAGCATGCGATCTAAGGGATTATGGCTCCCCTGGATCAAGCGACGAGGCGTTGGTGCTGGTAGTTGTCGCTTTTCTGGCGAGGGTGGCACCCGACTCGCACTTAGTACTGCACCTGCGCCAAGTCTTGCAGTTGTCGACGGGGCACTGGTGTCCCGCGCAGGGGACCTTGACGCAGCGAGCCGTGCGGCAATTTGGGAGGCCGAGGAGAGAGCGGCGGCTGAATTTCGTCCCCTCACACTTGATAATGTACTGGCGGGGGGTGAGAGTGGTCTGGCCAACCTCCCGATCTTATCCTTTACAGAACCCACTTCGGGAGAGTCGGATCCAGTCCTCTGACGGCCCAGAGGACGGCGATCGCTTGCCATTGCAGCAGTGGCGGAAGATCCAGCCTTCACATTGGGTGAGGGAGCCCTGGAGTGTTGGAATGCAAGCGTGGCGCCTTGTAGAGCGTCATTCCGAGCCACACCCAACCGCTGGTTCGCGGAAGCGGCCTCGCCATTCATGGAATCGATTCCCCGCAAAAATCGGTAGGTATGCGGGAGGTGAGAGTTAAAACCAGGATTATCTCAAGATAATCAAGATTACCAGGATGATCTTTGATATGATCTATTTTCTGAGATGTTTAGGGGGAAATATCGACGGGAAATGGCCGTGCACGCGACCGTACACGTTTCTTCAACGCGACTATATGTGTACATCTATGGAGCACACATATAGAATCACATATCACAATTAAATCATTTTCAGATGTTATATTATGTCTGGTTTTACTTTTTTATACATTTCTAATAACACGATTGTACTCTGTCAACTCCGCACTATTTACCCCAGACTTTAATTAACCGAGCCGCCATTTATTCATCCGTTCTCCGCTTTGCTTCCCCCTCCCCATCTGCGTCTGCATCTGCAATGTGACTTACATATCAGCTTGGCTTGTGGAAATGCTATCTGCTCCTCTAAAGCACAATCGGAGCCATGTCGGGTAAAGACAATCCCGAGGATCCTCAGGTTGGAACACCTGGGAGATCTGAAGTTCGAGATACAGATCAGAATGCAGACGAATTTGTTGCCGGTCACATTCAATGCTCAGTGTGTAGCAGTACCTTCCGGCGACCGGAGCATTTGAAACGACATCTGCGGAGTCATACTAAGGAGAAGCCGTTCGAGTGTGCTCAGTGCGGCCGGCATTTTTCAAGAACGTATGCGCGTGTGGGTTATAGCTATGCTTGGGTCGAATCACACGCTAATCAACCCCCAGCGACACCCTTCATCGACATGAGTTGAGTCACCATGCACCAGGAACGGGAGGGAAAGATCGCACCCATCGGATTACTGTCAAAACATTCCGAGCGTGCTTTAGTTGTGCAACTGCAAGAGTAAGATGCAGCGGCGGCGCGCCATGTGGACGGTGCGATACTCGCTCGCTCGAATGTCAATACCCCACGCAAAGACGGTCCAAAGCGAAAGAGAGGAGATATTCGGGGCAACAGGCTGAGGCACAGAACGACAGCCTCAACTCCATGCATCGAGATTTGGACGCAGCTTCTAGTCAGGGCCAGTTTCCTATACATCTACAACATAAGTCGGCATCATCCAAAACTTCGCTCAATCTATCATCTACATCCGGTAGTGATCACACAAAACAAATACCACAAAATGCACATAGCGTTGCAGACGCCTCGAATCCTCGTTTCTATCTTCAAAATGAGATACGAGGGCCGTCTGAAAAAGTGTCACCAAGGATTTACCCTAGAGAAACCAACCAGACATATGGTAACTTGAGCTCCGACATCCATAGGATATTCCCCGTTGATTCGTCCAACGAGCTGGACTCTGAAATGAGGGATATCCAGCCAGAAATGAACCCAGCAGGTGACATTGAAATGACCATGGCCAATAATCCGGAGGCACCGCTAGAGTTTGATCCCACATTCTTTGACCAGTCCATGCTCTCCACCATAAATTGGCTTCCTGGCGGGTTGCTCTCTGGCACTCCTAATGGCCACGCGCAGTCTAGCGGTATTTCCTCGCAATACAACCAATCTCTCAGCCCAAGTGCCTACTTCTCCCGGACGGCGTGGCAACCACCGGTTATCAATGCTGGGCAAACCAGTTCTTTGCAACCAGAGAGGGTCTCCCAGACACCCTCCGTACATGTTTCTGTAGGAAACCACATGGGAAGCCCTAATCAATATTCCCACGGTATCAGCGAGCCTTCTCCTCATACCGAATCAGTGCATTCTGCCAAGGGATCAGCAGACTACTATATCGATGGTGCGCCATCCAGACTCCCAAAGTACGGAAAGATACACACCCCTTGGTCCAGCGAATCGGTAGAGCCGGTCGATATTAGCAGGCAGCTGCTCATTGAAGATGGCGAGCACCGGTTCGACTTCCCTATCATCTCCGAAGTGCGAACAGATCAGATATCGGAAGATATAGCCCGGTTCGCACGACGGATTGAGACATCCACCCACGATGAGATTTACCGGCATTTCCTCAAACTATGCTGCAATGAAACTCCATTTTTTGAGGTGTTCGAAACGGAGAGATTTCCCACCGCGGATGAATGCAACCAGTTTATCTTCTTCTTCTTTGATTCATTTCAGGCCGTTTACCCGATATTGCATCTTCATAAATTTGATCCGAACACAAGCCATTGGCTCTTGACTTTGTCAATAATTGCACTCGGCTGCCACATGTCCCACATTTCGGAGATAGAACAGTGTACAACTGCTTTCCACGAGCTGATTCGGAGGGGTATCTATCTTGAGGTGAGAAAGGTCTTCTAACTCTTACTTATTCCTTTCCAGCTAATTATTTTACCCTACCAGAAAGAAAGGAGCCGCCCTGGTGAGGCTTCTCTTGAGATATTGCAAGCTATGTTGTTCAATTGTATTGGGCTTCTCCATAGTAGGAGCGAGCGAGAAAAGGCCTCGGCCTTAAGCACCTTTGGTGACTTGGTGACACTCATGAAAACTTCCAGGTTATTGACACCGGTGCGAACAAAATTCAATGAGGCGTCACAAGACGCAGCTTGGACATCTTGGATTCAAGATGAGGTCAGGAGACGCACCGGCTATTGTATATGGGTAAGCTTTGTCGAAGATTGGAGAACTTGCTTTTACTGACCGTGATAGCTCGTGGATTGTACTCTTGCATATTACTTTGATGATCGACCTTTGTTGTCTCTAGATGACGGACAAGCTGCATTGCCCGCACATGAGAAGCTATGGCAAGCATCCTCCGCAGAGACATGGAAGCCACTGTGCGCGACGTCATTTAGTAAATCTTATCCAGATCCAAAAACCAACCAATCGCTAACTTCTATAGCCAACGAATCCTTATACGACGCAGTCCACATCCTCTACATTGAGAAGAGAGTAGTATCCGGGATAGGAGAATTCAGTCACATTCTACTCATCCACGCTCTCTACCACCGAATGTGGGAAGTGGGTGACTACTTCCGCCGCCCACTATCCTTCTGGAACCCGACAGCGAAGAAGCAATCGTGCGAGACCGCCATTCCCACAGGCTCAGTCTGGCTCCCAGGAATCCCCTCGTACTCAAAATGGCGCAACAGCGCCTGCGACTGCCTAGACATCCTCCACTGGACTGCCAACAGCACCGTAGCCAAAGCCGCAGGTCTCGAGCACCCAACCATCCTTCACCTCCACACCGCCCGACTATTCCTCCTCGCTCCGTTCCGCGAAATGCGCTCCCTCGCGACCTCCCTAGCAACAGAAAAGCAACGCTGGGGCAAACGACACCAGAGCCTTGAGTGGCAGTACATCTGGCGCTGGATGAAACACGACCAATACAAAGCCCGGCTATCAATCATTCACGCCGGTGTCACCCTCTGGCATATCCGCCGCTACTCGACGAACGCATTCCACGAGCCTGTCGCAGCATTCATCGCTGTTCTGACGCTGTGGGCGTATGGATCATGTCACCCGCATACGTCCCATGAGTCCAGTCCGCGAGCAGGGCAGCTTCATGAACCGAGTTTTATTCATCTTGATCGGCCGTGCGATGATGAGCTTGTGCAGCTTTTTGTAAGGGAGGGTCATGCTATGAGAGGGAACGTTACTGGTGTTGGTGATATATGTGGGCCTGAGGGTCCGGAAAGGGTCCTGCGGGTTGGATGTGAGATTCTTTCGGGCTTGACGGCTTGGAGTATTTCGAAGAAGTTCGTGGCTATCTTGACACGGCTTGCGGATTTGAGCTCGTATCATTCCTCTTGGGAACAGAACCGTCGGCATGATACTGAGCATGTCTGATTTCAGCGAGGTCTACGGCAAATAAACACATTTCTTATTCTGTACATTAGTGTTGGTGTTGGTCTCTTTGTCTATTTTATATATGAATTAGATATTGGGTTCACAAAGATGTTATCCACATGTAAATCTAGTCTTTAAATGTCTATTTAGAAGTTATTTCCACTATGGGCGTGTGTTCCAACCTCGGAAGGTTCCTTCCTTGAGTGCTTCGTGAACTCCTCAAAACTTTAGCTCCTAGACTTACAACGTCACTCTCATAAATTTTACTCAGAATGAACTCTGCTACCTGCACAGCGGCCATTGGCACTTTTACCACGATTTTCGATGTTTGGTGCAGCAAACAGAAAGGCTTTCTTTCATACACCAAGAGCGACCATGCAAGTTGAAGGGAGCACTATAAAGAAGACATCAGGTGCCGGATGAATTGCCGATTCACACAAGTGGCAAATGGCCAACAGTTGTTGTTCTTGTTTTTGCTATTGTTGATGTGAAAGCCAAATGCTCCGAAACAAGGGACCAACTTGAACAGATATTCAGTTCTGGCTAACGGAGCCAAGCGGCCAAGCAAGGGAAATTCTCACACGTTCCGTCCTCGGGGTAAGTTTGCCATTGACAAATGAGAACCTTGCTAAGATCCAGCAGCTCCCTCTCCAAACCTAAAGGATGGAATTTGTCCCCCATCTCGCACTTGGTCATCCGAGAATCAACGACGAGCTTACACTTGAATATCTAGAGGAGGCCGACTACACTCTGCGCTCTGTTGATATGGAGAAGATTGGAAACAGTCGTGGGTCGCACATGCTTTTTCCTGGTCCAGCATAATAAATCGCAATTTCTTGGCAATACGACGAGACTGAGGAAGCGTGTTTCTTTCAACATCTGGTTTTATCAAGATCGATATAGCCTGGTGCGACAATCTAGCCTAGCTCAAGAATACCCCGACGCCATCCCCCCCCCCAACCCCTTCTCGATATCGCTCCAGCAAACGGAGATCGCATTCGGAATAAAGGAAGCTACGGGTCCTCTGCAGAAATTTCGTGATCAAGTTCTAACCGAAGAACTTGCTTGCAACCTGCCACTTCTGTCAATACAAACACACGGCTGACTACACGCTAAGTCACCTTCGGGTCCCGGTTATAGAGCAGCTTGGCACTTAGAATGGTATGAACTGCGCGCAACGGAGGCCTAATCAATGTAACTAAATGTCGTCAAAATCAATCAAAGTGATCTCTCTCAGCAAGAATGTTGGTCGTCTCAGTCAGCTGTACAAACGGGTGAAGATGGAGAACGTGAAGGTTCTCCTTGCCCGAGAAGTCGGAACTGTTAAGGCCCGAAAAATACACTCCGCACTGGGGTATGTGTGTTAATTACTTAAGTAACAGACTAATAGGGTCTTAGGATATAGACATGAATGAGCGAAGTGGGATGCAGTCGAAGAGTGAGAAAGGTTATATATCGTTCTTCATAATGCTTCCAGAATCCGACATAAGCATCGTCATTCTGACCAATTCAATTGGGCTTAGAGACCCGGCCTGCTGGATCCACGAACTCCTTATAGAGACTCTAGTGGATGACTTTGTGGTGGAAATCAGAAATAAAGAAGCAGGCACGCTGCAAGTTGCTTTCCAGGCCCTGGACTCACAGGTTTGGGATCTACAACATCACGAGCATGACACTTTCATTTGGCTTCTTTCCTGGGACAAAATCGTGAAACGAGCCCGATTTCCGTACGCGGGGAAAGGAGTGTGCACTTTGATCTTCCAGACTGGTTCAGATGTAAGAATAGACGGGCTCCTGTGGCCCCATGACCCGAATCTTCCGGCTCAAGAGCAACTTTTCCGTAAGTTTGGGAGTGTTAAAGTAGCCAAGCATGAAGTGCAAGAATCTGCCGTGTAAGTGTCGAAAGCTATGTTACAATATATGGTTGAGAACCGAGTATTGAAACCCTCGGGAAATACATGGACCGCTACGGCAGTCGCATATTGAGCGTAGTAATTGATGTCCGCACAGATTGTTCTTAGTTAGAGTTATGCATATTCATTGATCATACCATACCTTGCTGTACACCTTGATTTCTGTCAGTAAACCATTTTTAAGCGGTATGGCCTGCTGTGGGGGTGGGGGTTTGACACTCTTTTGCTGAAAATCAAAGTCAATAGGATCGAAGTCCCAAATCAAGTCAATAGTTTATGGTTGATTTGACCGAGATCTACGGAGTACACAGGGCAATGTTCTCTATTAATAGCAGGCGGGGTTGACTGGTGGATACATCATATCTCACCACACACCATTATAGCCCCCAGACTTCCCATCGTCTTCTAGATATGCCGAATTTGTACAAGGACCTCAGGCTTGCTATCGAGAATGGCGACACTGAAACAACTACTAAGTTGCTGGATAACGGTCTTGGTATAGAGGATCATCATTTTCGCACTGCAACAGTGAACAAGTACATCGACATTGTAGAGCAGTTCTTGTCTCGTGGCTGGGGCATTCACACCGATATGAGCAACACAGCACCATCAGCGCTAGGTAAGTATCAAATATTTATCATACCCAATAGGGAAGCTTACAGTATTGTACTAGGTATACCTTTGAAGATGTGGGACTTCCCAAGTGGTTTCTCAGCCACGGCGCGGACCCAAACAAAAGGTGCCGTGTTCGGAACTGCACGCCATTATCCTACGCGGTCCGGGATGGTTCTTTTAATGCCATCAAGCTTCTTTTTGAAAATGGAGGTCAAGTCCAAGATGGGCAGCTTTTGCATTACGCCGCGATGCGAACCCAAAATGACAACCACGAAACAGTTAATTTACAATCAAGATCCCGACTATAACAAGCTATGTGTAAACAAACTGCTTGACGAGGGAACCCTAGAATATTCTATGAGCGAAAGCAGTGGGCTTGGCACTCCATTACACTACGCCGCTCGGTCTGGTTCAGCAAAAATGGTGACATTCCTGGTAGAGCAGGGCGGAGCTCCTGATCTTCAAGATCCTTACCGTCGGACACCAATCAGTTATGCGATTCGTAACGGGCATCATGACATTGAACAATTCTTGAAGAGTAGGATGGATGCAGATATAAACTTAGCGCAAAGCATCTGAGAGTACACTGTGATCTCCAAATACATGTACTGTGAATCTGTCGTCTTGGATAGTTCGAGTTCGGAGGAAATGAGTGGAGCCATCTCTTATCTTATCAGCAGTGTAGCCTACAATTATCTGGGGTAGTGCAGCCTTGCAACTTCCAACTTCCAGAACTTAACTTCTCCTACTTAACTTCTCCTAGCATGGATTCCGACGAAATTTTAGGCCAGGATCTCCTGAAGCCAGAGAACGAAGAAGATCTAGACGAAAAGTGAGCCCCTAACTAACTCATGACACTAAGCTTCTGGGTAGATGACTGATAGCGTTTGGCAGATACCCCAACAGACCTCACAACCGGGCCCCGACACTGCCGTTCCACGATCTGTACCTCAACCTATTTAATCCACTGAGTGAGCTCAAGAAGAAGCCGTCAGGGCCTGCTCCAGCTCGCCGAAAGGTTGGTCCTCATGGCAAAGGTGCTACGAGTCTCAACCCGTTCGAGCGCCGGCGCGATGTAATTGAGCGCTTCATTTCGCGATGGCGCAAGGATGTCGGCGACGATATTTACCCCGCCCTTCGATTGATTCTTCCCGACAAAGACCGTGATCGACCAATGTACGGGGTCAAGGAGAAGGCTATCGGCAAGATGCTCGTCAAGACCATGAAGATCAACAAAGAATCAGAAGATGGATACAATCTTCTAAATTGGAAGCTTCCAGGCCAGGGTGCTACGACACGCATGGCGGGTGATTTTGCTGGAAGATGCTTTGATGTTCTCTCGAAGCGGCCTATGCGGACCGAGCCGGGCGACATGACAATCGACGAGGTCAATGAGAAGCTAGATAAGCTATCTGCTGCCTCAAAGGAGGATGAACAATTGCCAATCTTAACGGAGTTCTATCGGCGGATGAACCCCGAAGAGCTTCTCTGGCTCATCCGAATTATACTTCGGCAGATGAAGGTTGGTGCTACCGAGCGAACACTCTTTGATGTTTGGCATCCAGATGCCCAGAATCTGTACAGCATATCTAGCAGTCTGCGACGTGTTTGCTGGGAACTGCATGATCCCAATATCCGGCTTGAGGGAGAGGAGCGCGGTATTGCGTTGATGCAATGCTTCCAGCCTCAGCTGGCCCAATTTCAGATGCATTCATTTGAGAAAATAATTGCTCGTATGAAACCCGCAGAAGATGATAACGTGTTTTGGATTGAGGAGAAAATGGACGGTGAGCGTATGCAACTCCATATGGCGCCTGACGATTCAACCAAAGGTGGTCGGAAATTTGGCTTCTGGTCGCGCAAAGCGAAAGAATATACCTATCTTTATGGGAATGGAATTTATGATGAGAACGGCGCTCTGACAAGGCATCTGAAAGATGCTTTCGTGGATGGAGTACAGAGCATTATTCTCGACGGTGAAATGATCACCTGGGATCCTGAACAGGATGCCATGGTTCCCTTCGGCACGCTCAAAACCGCGGCACTGGCGGAACAACGAAATCCTTTCTCAAATGGTCCACGACCCTTGTTCCGTATTTTTGATATCTTACATCTTAATGGGCGTGATCTAACGAAGTATACCCTTCGTGATCGTCGTAATGCCCTGGAGAAAACTGTCCGACCTGTCCATCGCCGGTTTGAAATTCATCCTTACGAGGAAGCCACTACCACCACAGAAGTCGAAGCAGCTCTGCGGAAGGTCGTTGCTGAGGCGTCAGAAGGTCTCGTGTTGAAGAACCCGCGCTCTCCATATCGACTAAACGAACGCCATGACGACTGGATGAAAGTCAAACCAGACTATATGACCGAATTTGGAGAATCCCTTGACGTTGTTGTAATTGGCGGATACTATGGCTCGGGTCATCGAGGAGGGGCGCTGTCCAGTTTTCTCTGCGGACTACGAGTCGATGACAGCACACAAGCAGCGGAAAAATGCTGGTCCTTTTGTAAAGTCGGTGGCGGTTTCACTGCAGCTGACTACCAGGAGGTCCGCCATCATACAGAGGGCAAGTGGAAGGCGTGGGATGCGAAGAAGCCTCCGACTACCTTTATCGAACTGGCGGGTGGGGACGCCCAACATGAGCGTCCAGATATGTGGATCAAACCATCCGATTCAATTGTGTTGTGTGTGAAAGCTGCCTCTGTCGCGATCAGTGACCAATTCCGCATGGGATTGACACTGCGCTTTCCTCGCTTTAAGAAATTGCGCAAGGACAAGGATTGGAAAAGCGCGCTCTCAGTTCAGGAGTTCCTTGACCTAAAGTCCAATGCAGAGCAAGAACACCGGGAGAAAGATTTCTCTGTTGATAACTCTCGAAAGAAGCGAGTAAAGAGGACCACTAAGAAACCACTGACGGTTGCTGGGTACGACAATAATGTCGATGTCCAGTACCTTGGACCTTCTGGGCATGTTTTCGATGAGCTTAACTTCTGTATGTGGTTTGATCCTGTTCCATTCCTATCATACATAAGACTAATACAATGGGCTTCTAGTCATAATGACCGAGTCGACCATCCCAGAAAAGAAAACAAAACTTCAACTGGAACAACTCGTGAAGGCTAATGGTGGCAAGATCTACCAAACCAGGACAGCTGCGGTAGAGACACTCTGTGTTGCCGAGCGGAGTGAGTTTCATTCTACACGGATAAAATAATCACACTAATGTTTCGGCAGGAACGGTCAAAGTGGCCTCATTACAAAAGAGTGGAGAGCAAAACATCATTCGACCATCTTGGCTTATCGACTGCATCAAACAGAATGAAATAGATGCAGGCCTGCCAGATCTTCTTCTCCCGTTCGAGCCAAGGTACGTTCTGATTGCCAAAGGAGATGCACATGCAAGGGGCTGATATGTATCGATTCTATAGACACATGTTTTTCATGACAGAGGACAATGAGGAAGAAGTCGCAGCAAATGTCGACAAATTCATGGACAGCTATGCTCGAGATACAACTGTCGAAGAGCTCAAGGATGTATGACACCCCCGGAGGAATAGTGAGAAACAACCATGGCTTTTGCTAACAAGTATTCGATCTGACAGATATTTAAGCAAATGGAAAAAAACGAAGAGCAGCCCGACCATGTCCCGGATCCAGAAACCATTCAGAGAGTCGAGGCTCGGATCCAGGAAAAAGTTAACGCTGGTTACACAGTACCCTGTGGATGGCTCTTCCGAGGCTTGAAGTTTTATTTCTACTCGAACGGGAGTCAGCCGGACGAACCAGCCTCCCGAGAACTGAGAAAGGAGGACCAACGCCTCCACTTCGCCTGCAACACCGCCCGGTTTGCAGGCGCGGAGAGTGCCAGCTCATTGAAGAGCTCGGGCACCACACATGTGATAGTTGATCCGGAGACTGTGTCTTCGGCGGACATATCATCTCTCCGGAAGTCTCTGGCCGAGAAGCCGGGCGCGAAAATGCCGCATCTTGTTAGCGTGAGCTGGGTGGAAGAATGCTGGAAAAATGGCACTTTGCTAGATGAAGAGAGTAAGTTACATGCCCGTATTTTTGGCCTTTTTGGGCGTTCTAACATGTGCTATGGTGGCAGGGTTCCCGGTTCCGCGATGAATAAGAGCTGAATTCAAATCGTGTGATGAATCATGCTGTTCTTTCATTTTCTAATTTCCTCTTTGGTCGCTGGACATGCCCGTGTCTGTGCAAAATGAGCGAGCCGAAATCAACCACGAAGTACCATAAGTCACATTCTATGATCATCTGACTTTGCTTGAGCGAGCCAGCGAGGCTATAATAGACTGGAGAATACCACCGTAACCGAAATGACCTACCCCTTAGGCCAGTAAACCACTCTCTGGCTAGACACGCCGTATCATTTGAAACCTGTGGCTATTATGATGGCCAAAGAGCCCAATATAAAGCGACCGAGGTTCATCAGGCCACGCGGGGTGATCTCATGTTATGCCCACGTGGGATGCAAGATGACATCACAATACAGAATGTTCAAAGTCAATCTAAGATTTCCTAAACCAGAGTCTACTATGTACGGAGAAAGTATAGCCACTTGAGTACAACATAGGCTGTCTCCAGTATCATCTTCAACTTTCTTAGGTGCACTCTCTTGGCAACCTTTGTGGTATATCTCTTGTCTTCTAGCCAGAAGGGCGAGCAATAACCACACAAAGCAAACAAATCATAGGAAGCCTAGGCCGGCCTAGATTGTAAAAAAGCGACCACAATGACTACAGTATGTCGCGTCACCAGTTACGCATGTTTTTCTCGATCCTTGAAGCCCTAATTGCCCATGCACGCTAGTCTAGATTGGGGTTTCTCCGGAGTATCGTAGGCTCTGTATTGTTCTTTCACATAGTATTCGGGACAAAGGATAAGGTGTATTATAGAGTCATGGAACCATGTAACCGTAACGGTAAGATATTGAATAAATAAGATTACAGGAACATTAATACTCCGAGCCAAGTCCTAACATGGTATAGTATATTTTGGCATTAGGGTTCGAGAAACAATCGGAGGGAGTGCATGATGACGCCAGTACCTAACCTAGTCCTTAAGATTGGCTTTCCCATATAGTATGCTGTTTTTATTACAATTACAAGGCAAAAAAAGCTTAATTTATTTCAATATTTGATTTGAGTTGAATAGATATCTCAGGTAGTGATCGAAAGATCGATCCGAAAAAAAGACGGAAAAAGCAGCCATAGAAAAAGCATGGCGCTGTCAAGGTAGAAATGGGGGGTATGTAACAGAAGAGAGAAAATATGTGCGCCGAGCAGGACACCGTCCTAATCCAACGCCGCGCTTGCAGAGGATAACCGAAATAAAAAGAAAAAAGAAAACAAAGATTTATGTACTGAAGTGAAGTGACCAAAAAGGGAGATGTATCGACCCATATCTTGCGCTCGGCGCTAAGACGGGGCTTTATCAAAACCTTTAGTTCACTGGGCGGAGACGCCCACCCATCGGGCCGGAATGGCGTTGTCATCACTGTCCTCGTATTGTCCCGATAAGTGGTAATTTGTCTTGCGCGCTGGCAGCCAAATGCGCGCACGGGCGGGGATGTCGTCGCGGAGTTTGCCGCTACGTCGCATGTTCATTTCGAGAACCACCACGCGCAAGAAATCGCTGTTCTCACGAATTTCGCGCTGGCGTGACATGGATGGAACCTCCGGGACGAAAGTGACGTATTTCTGGTCCTTGCTTGCGATGTGGAAATTGCTTCGCCGGTTCCCACGGCCGCCGGCTCGACGATATGTCTGCATTTGGATCGAGACGGGGCTACTGGAATTCTGAGGCTTGTCGTGGGGATGGTCATGATAGACATACATCTCTGCCGGTGACATCGGAGTTGGGTTCATCGGGGATGGATTCAAGTAGCGTCGTAGTGCTGGAGATGGCGTTTCTTGCATCGGCAAAGGTCGGCGATCATCAGTCATCTCTGGGGTGATGGTGAAAAGAGACCGGGTGAGGAAATCCTCTGGTTGAACGGAAGGGGTGGCAAATGTCGAGACTGACTGCGCAGCGGATTTGATGGCCCGTAAAGATGCTGTGAGGTTCGATTTGAAGGTAGATCCGAGGCGCCCAAATGATGCAGCTCGCTTTGCGGGTACTGTGTCGGGTGTAGTGGGCTCATCGTCATCATTCTTGATCTCAATGAATTCACATTCATCGAGTTCGGTTACAAGCAAAGGATGGTCCAAGGCACATTCTTCGCAGTGCGAGTACCGAGGCTGTCGTCTCTCCGGTGGACTTCGATAGCTAGAAGGGCTTGGCGGCGAGAGAATACTGGACGGTGATGCCAGGTCATGTTCTAATGACGGCATCGAATCGCTTGATGTTGACCGCACTGATAGTGGTGATTCTTGCTCGGACTCGCTGCAAGGCAGGTGTTTCTCGTTGTCGTTATCGGGTGGACTGAGAAGGATGTCAAGAGGGGAGTAGGCGGTCCCATCCAGGAAATTATCTTCTTTCGACCTGATATCTTCCTGCAGCATGCGTCTAAAGTCCTCTTCATGATTTCCACGAGGCAGTTTCCGAGGTCTGCGAGTGGTCCAGTTTCGTCTCGGGACGGGAATGGCTGTTGCATCTAACATCGAGGTGAATGACGTAGGGATGGGGCGGTCATTGGACGAGCTGGAAGAGGACCGGCGAGAGGTTTCTGAGGTTTTAGATAAGGTACGTGGACGAGTATCGCGACGTGCTGATAGAGTCCGCGAGCCACGCTTTGGAGGAATTACCACTGGGATAGTGTTGATCGATCCACGGGTCTCAGTGGAAGTGGGGAGGCCAGAACAATCCGACGGGGTGAATGAGTTCATCCCAGGAGACTGAAATGGTTTCTGCGGCGGCGCCGAGCTGAATAGAAATGCTCTTGGGACCATCATGTTGACTGTTGTTTCGCCACACGACCACAGTTGCTATCGAGGCCTTGACCGGATGAAGCGCTCTGGTCGAGTGTCTGAGCGAGATACATGGATGAAGGAGAAAACTGTGGGAAGGGAGAGGCTCCCAGGAAGTCTGACGAGAGAGGACCAGCAGCCAATCCGAGGGTGTATGTGTTGGCCCAAAGAGATGTAAGGGAAGCGGATAGGGCCGTGAGACAAGGGTATGCAGGCACACACGCGAGCGGATAAGGTGATAGAGAAAGGCGATAAGGTGAGAGATTCGAGAGAAATATGAATAGGAGGTAGGAGGATATGTTAAATGTGTAGGAAGGAGGATAATAGAAAGAAATAGAGAAGAGATGTAGAAGTCAATTAAGATAGAGAGAGAGAGAGATATGGGGGGAGAAAGTGGTGATCTCAGATAGATAAGCCGTATTGGGCAGGTAAACGCATGTAAAGATCACGAGAGGCGCAGAACAGTAATTTATTTTACGGTCTAAATGATTGGTTGTGCGGGGGACAATGCCGGGATCCGGATTTTGTCCGGCGATTGAAACGGTATTATTGCCGTACTTTTTAATACAATTCCCATTACTCATGGAACATTCCGCCGGTGGAGTCCGGAAGGGAAGGAATATTTTTTTTTATTTTTAGTATTTTATTTTTTCTTGGTTGACAGATACTATATGACTTGCAATATATGTACTCTACAACGTATGATTAGCTCAATGTAGTAAGACATACATATGCACTCTGTATATCTGTACATGTAATAGATAAATGTATATGAAAACGAATCACAGTCATCTCAACCTTTTCAAATCAGTGTTGAATAAGATGTGTGGGCCCTTTAAGGTTGCTTTTAGTGCGGTGCGGGCAGATGCACACCGTTCTCCCCAGAATCAATATTGAAAAAAGGGAAGATCGATTTTTAGCATTTTTATCGTTTCAATGAATCTTGTTAATTGCTTATATTTTACGGAATAAGAAATGATAAACAAAATTATGTACGGAGTACCTGAGTCACTTTGATAGATCGACAGGAGCTCCGAGGCTCCTCCGGTTCCTTCAGATTTAAGGGGGAAAAACATTAAAAAGGAGCGGGTGGCTGCAGTGTCCCAAAACGTCAAGTCGAAGAGACCCGACGTGGCTAGTGGAGCGCCTTAAGCGAAAATAATTGCATTAATAATTGCGGTGAAGCCCCTATATTCTTCCCTATTTTGTTTCTTCGCTATATTGGTGGCTTGTACGGAGTAATTGCGGCTTAATAATCATGTTGCGACTCATCGCACTTCCAAGTTTGGATCATTGCTTCCGAAGCACTCCGTACTCCGTAAACAATTGCCTATTTAATTATTTAAATATTCGATGTCAACTGTGTTATACATGCAAACATTGAGATAGGCCTTGAAAATCAAAACAACAGAGGACCCACCTACATTGTTACCTGAACATCCTTCTTTAACCGTTCGAAGCAATTTCATAGATATGAATTACAAACACACATCAAAATGCCCACAGTCCCAAAAAGCAAAGTTGAGACGTGGCTGGTGGAGCGCCTTTAGCGGGTAGTTGCGGTGAACCCTTATACGAGGTATACCTGGTTTTTTCTGTCTTTTTGTGAGATTAGGCAGTCATACATGGATGGTTTTATTGTGATTTGGCCTTATCTATTCGGTCTGTTTTGCTTGCGGATATGTACCGGATAATCCCTGGGCCCTCGAAACCACCCTCCATTTTAGTGCTCACCACTTGCCGCTTTTGGACCTTAAAAGTAAAATTGAGCACCCTATTATTCTATGTTGTACGGAGTACGGAGTATTAAAAAAAGGATTGGCTTCGTTATCGCAACCGTTTGTTTTAGTGATATTTTCCTACAGAGGATATATCCGTGAACCGACTTTTTTTTTATATATATAGCTATGAACGGCACGATACGTTCCAGCAGTCAATCTCAATTCTAGCCAAGATAATTGCTTTTTAAATTGCAGTCTTGGGTTTTAAAAACATCGTTCGGGTTGTTGATCCTTTATGGCACTCCCGGTAACGTATCCGACAATAATGGGAAGGCTGGGGCCTACAATCTACACGGTGGATCATAACCGACCGGATACTTCTCACCCCCCATATGTGCACCCAACCCAGTATAGACAGATCTATTGAACCTCTACACCAGAACCTGCGCCTGGAACATCTTATCAATATCCTCCAGCGGCCTTCCCTTTGTCTTAGGCACAACAACTATACAAAAACCAATGCCGTAACCAAGAACCCCCCATAAATAAACGTCACACGGCCGCCGATACTAGCCTGTACATAGCGGTTGACAAAGTTGATCGGAACCGATGTTGAGAAGCTGCCTATAGAAACGAGAAAGATGGCACGCTCACACAACTGACCTGTTCCTACTTCACCGGTGACGATCTAGTATCCCGGTCCCTAAGTAAAGCCGTAAATGCAGTACCAAAGAATCAGAAGGGCGGCACAGGCATTCTTGGCTTGCAGCGATAGGTTGGTTACAATGCTGCTTGATTCGATGGCACTACCCGTTGCTATCATTTTCGCTGCTAGTCCGATCGAGCTGAGAACCAGTCACCAGTGACGACCTAGTTGGTTGAAGGTTACGAATGTGATGATGTGACTGGCGAATGAGCATCCAGTGACTAGGACGTTCGTTCGGGGGGGATCAGGGAAGCCGAGTTGTTCCATGAAGGTCACGATCAATTTTTGGATAAATGAGACACCTTAGGCTTTTTGTAAGGTTTGAACGCTCATGCATGCGATCGTTCGGGGGAAGTTAGTCCCCTTGAAACAGTCTAGAAGGGTGGTGGCTTTGTGAAGTTCTCTGTGTTATTCGATTTGGAGTTTGAGTATTTCGACTTCTTGTTCGATGTTATCTTTTTTGTAGAGCTTTCTCATCACCTCTTTTACTTCTTGGTATCTGTGTTTATACATAAGCCGCAGTGGTTCGGGGAGAAATTGTAACGCTATGAGATATCCGAGTGAGACAAACAATTGACAGCAGATAACGATACTATCTATCATGTTAGCTACACGTAGACAAAGAATGAAAAATAAGCTCAATACAGATATAGCCATTTATCAGTGCGATTCCGTGACAGGTACACTACCAATGTGGCAATGAACACCCCGAGCGAAGTGAAGAATGAGTAGAGCGCAAGGAACACTCCTAGAAAAGAGTTAGATATGGCCAGAACAAAGGTTAACGGCTGCAAGGCATGACAGACCTCGAACACTCAGATGGATAAGTGGGAACAACATTTGAAGCAAGTCCAATGCCAGAATAAACAACGATTCTACCGACAACCATCTGTCAAGAAGAAACATCACAGTGCTGGCTTCTAACACAAAACCAAGCATGACGAGTAGCGATAGGACCAGGAACCCAGCCTTGCAAACATATTTCGAAGTATAATTGGAGCAATAATACAGCCAATGATGAGGCCAACTGAACCAGTGCCAGTCCCAACAGACAGATTTTCCGATGCAATGCTCCATTCATCCAGTGCTGAATTGTACGAGCCATATTTGCGCTTGAACTCGGAGATTCCTAGGGCGCCACCCCACCATCCATTATTATAGCCAAACCCAAGGGCGCCGAGGGAGGAAGTGAATCCAACAAATGCTATGCCCCGATTCAAGTCTTCGTATATGGGGAGATTTCTCAGGGCAGCTAACATGTTGGGTAGATGACAGGCAATTGTGACTGGTGAGCTGAGGGATAATTGATAGCAAGTTGCTTTAATATACATTTATATGCATTTAAACTCATACTTTCTTTTGACTCCCGTGCTTTACCTAGGTGATCTAGCTTCGAAACCTTAGTCTAGTGTACTCCGGGAAATTCGCGGGGAAATGAGTGGTAAGTATAACCACCGGGGTTCTCATTAAGGCAATGGGAGCCGAACCTTCTTGTCCCAGTCTAGTTGGGAACTACAGAGAGGTATACAAGGCGATGGTGGATTTTTGACCTTGTTAAAATATGTAATTCAAGTACCGCATCGCATTTTGGGAATGATATCAAATTATCTTCGTCGTCTCAAGCAAAACCATGCCATCACTCATCACTATAATCGTTCAATCTGCTACCCTAAAAGCATTCGCCAATATCACTGTTCAAATACTACAACATTTGGGTTTGACTCGCTATGAGAGGAACATTCAGTCAATAATATATATCATGTTTGAAGAACCACTTCAATTGTAAATCAACTTGGGTTTCATGTTGCATATATAGCCTCTCGCAATCCCTCACAGTTAATAACTAGTGCGTATCAATTTCGTAGGAAGGTCGTACATGGATAGAATGAGCATATATGATCTTTTGGCCTAGCGGTTAATTACCCTTATGTAATCCCTTAGGAGTACCTAGCGGCCTAAGCAGCATACAGGATTACAATCAAGCTCGTGCTGATATCTACTGCAGTTCAAATTAGACCCCACCAGGGAAAATCCGGTACGATACACACAATTTATGTAACCTCATCAGTCTATGTAACCCAGGGTTGAATCCTTCAGGCGGAATCCGAAACATGTACGGAGTATCGGAGATAATATCCTAAGAATCACTTGGCATGCGTCCAAATAATGTTCCATTCACTACAATAATTATATCGATATAAATTATATGGAATGAGCGAATAATAGACAAAACTACCATAAGTTTTCGGAGATGTACCCCACGTGAAGACATTAGTCAGCAGCTTATCAAAATGGACATCCCGACACCTGCACAGCCATCCAGAGGCCGGCGATAACCACATCTTGCGTCGTCCTGCTTGCATCCAATCATTTCAAGGGCGTCACCAATCTCCAATCTTACCAACTTTTGCACTGAGCTTGCCCCCGCCTCCACTGCGGGTCATTGCAATCGTGGGGTACATCATTCCTTCTACAATTGCCACCAGGCCTGTGTAGATCTTCAAGCGTAGCGGGTGCGTTGATATTTCCTTGTTGTAAGGTGCAATTTCCGATATTAGCGCCTGGCTAGACGGACTGGATTGCCATGGATGGTCCGGAATACTAACATGCCGATATAGCCGCCGTGTGCACCCTCGATCTAGCAAGCCAGCATGTTCTATTAATGAGCCCTGTACTCTAAAAGATGGACATCTCATGTCGAGGTTTAGACCAGTCACCGGCAAACACGACACTAGGCATGCAAAGAGACCCCGCGGAGAAACCGTCATACGCACTTGAATCGTACCTATCAAAATATCTGAAATCATGAGCGCCGAACGTGTCCAACCGTCCAAAAGACGATGCGTCAGCACAGCCTGTGTCGCCTGCCGCAAAAGGAAGTCAAAGGTTGGACTTTCATATTCTGATATCGAGATGTCACATTACTAATAATTTCTGCGGGTAGTGTGATGGAAACCTGCCCAGCTGTGCAGCTTGTTCCTCGGTATATCATACACCCTGTATGTATCTCTTTTACAAAGAGCAATACTAGCATTGCTCACCCTTCATCATAGGTGTATATGATCCAAACTCGGATCACCGCCGCAAAGGTGTTTACAAGAAAGACACCGATACATTGCGGACTCGAAACACCACCCTACAGACATTGATACAGGCAATATTAAACTACGAGGAAGCGGATGCTTTCGAATTAGTACGCCAGATTCGCTCTTGTGATGATCTCGAAGATGTAGCTGCTTCGGTGATCGCCCAGGAGAAGGGGCTCATGTCTACGGACAAAGCAGCAAAGGAGTCAGCCAGCAATGAGAATATAGTTGAAATAGATCAATTCGAGTCAGAGCTGGCTGGCAAGATGAGTGAGCTCATGCTTGACGGTTCTCGCAAATTTATTGGAGGTACCTCAAACCTCATCTTCTTGCCGCCAGGGTCCGAGCTACAGGAGTCTACTTCGATTCAAAACAGCCTCGCCTTCGATGCCGATAAAACACACGCTGTGAGCCGGTGGACCGAAGTCACAGAAGACGACTCCCTAATCAGTCATCTGATGACCATGTACTTTACATGGCACTATCCGTTCTTCACTACCCTGTCCAAGAATATGTTCTATCGGGATTATATCCGCGGTGTTTCCAGTTCATATTGCTCTGCATTACTCGTCAACGCTATTCTAGCTCTGGGTTGTCATTTCAGCTCATGGCAAGGTGCTTTTGATGATCCCCAGAATCCTGCAACAGCGGGAAATCATTTCTTCAAAGAGGCGAAGCGACTCGTATTGGAAAATGACGAACATGAGAATGCAAAGCTTTGCACTGTCCAGGCATTCGCACTTATGTCTGTCCGAGAGGCGGGATGTGGCCGTGAAGGGAAAGGCTGGGTCTATAGTGGGCTCAGTTTCCGCATGGCTTTTGATTTAGGGTTAAATCTCGATTCGGCAAATCTTGGGGCGCATAACCTCAGCGACGAAGAGATTGATGCTCAGCGGATCACCTTTTGGGGTTGCTATCTCATTGACAAGTCAGTCTCCATTGCTCTTATTATCTATGATTCCTCCCTAACACTTTACAGATGCTGGTCAAATTACCTTGGTCGGCAACCCCAGTTGACTTCGGCCAACGCCAATGTGCCCAAGTTTGATGTATTGCCACAAGAGGAAATGGAGTTATGGTCGCCCTACACTGATTCTGGAGTTGGTCACGAGCACACGCAACCATCACGAACCAGGGCTGTTGCGCTCCAGATATCCAAACTCTGTGAGATCAGCAGCGATGTACTTGTGTTCTTCTACCATCCAACCGAACTCGAACACTCCCAGCCCAAGCAGTCGGAACTAAAGAAATTGAGCGATGTTCACACCCGGCTTGAGGCGTGGAAAACCAAATTGCCCAGGGAACTGATGGCAAAAGAAGGACAGCTACCACAAGTGCTTGTCATGCAGTAAGTTGATGCCTACATACACGGTGTTGCCTCAGCTAACTCTTGCCTCAGTATGTTTTATCAGCTTCAGATAATTCATTTATACCGACCATTCTTGAAGTATACCAAAGCCACTACTCCACTTCCTTCCCATGTCTCACCTCGCAAGATATGCACGCAGGCCGCTGCGACTGTTTCCAAGCTGCTGCGCATATATAAACGCGGATATGGACTGAAACAGATCTGCAACATCGCCGTCTATATTGCCCACACTGCGTGCACTGTCCATCTTCTCAATCTCCCGGATAAAAACGCTCAGAGGGACGTGATACACGGCCTCAAGAATCTTGAAGAAATGGCAGAGGGCTGGCTCTGTGCTCGACGTACTCTCCGCATCCTCGACATATCCGCAAACAAATGGCAAGTAGAGTTACCAACCGAAGCAATATCCATCTTTGAACGAACCCACAACAAATGGGGATCCTGGGGCTCTTGGGACCAAGCGACTTCTCCCTCAACATCCGACGACTCTCCCATCGCAACCATGTTACAACCCTCTACAGGCCAAAGCCGATTTTCATCATCTGGGCCCCCATTTCCCCATTCTCACACTGAACCCGTCGCCATGGTTGATACTCAATACGGGCCCCTCGCCGCCGCCCCAATATCGTTCCCCTCCATACAAGGAATGCATCCACCTCACGCCCAACGGCCCGAGTTTGCCCCTCCCGAACCAACCTACCTCCGGCCCCAGATGGCCTACCAATTCACTCCGCTTGCAGGATCAGTTCCGGCTCCCTCTTCTCCCCATCCCAACAGATGGTACGATGGCTCTGGGGCTCATATTTCACCCCCAAATGCAACACCGACATCCGTTGCATCGCCTGTGTCTGGGTATGACGGCACCGAAAACCTGGTCGAAGAGAGCCAGGACTGGTGGTCGAGAAATGCTAGTGCGTACGGCATCGGCATGGATGGTTGGAGTGGTACTTGGAATGCTACTCCCCAAAGCCAGCCTTCGCTTATTCAATACCAGGATGGTAATCTCATGTCCGTTGCTCAGCCTCCTAGTTCTGGTGATGAGCAGCCTCAAGCCCCCGGAGGAATGTCGACAGTTGGGTCGCCCTTGGATACCGATGACACAACTGGATATGGAGATAGATGGAAATAATGCATGGAATTTGTAGTTTTTGACATATCTCGTTTGATTTTTGATACCACTTAGGGGGTTTTTGTCTTGTGCCGGCGTTTATGGATACGCCGTCTACAATTTTGTATATGTTTCAAATCTTATGATCAATTTACAGACCAGAACATTTAGAGGTGCAAGTATCAAAAGATTTGTCATAGATGATCATTAGTTCTCAAAAACCAACACCAAGGCGCAAAATGCTACTTCCAAGAGAACCATATAAAAAGAAAGAAAAAAAAGGTGCATGGGTGGTATCACTAGGCATGGATGTTAGTAAGATGATATCAATCAAAACAACAGAGTATATAGAAGAGCGTACCAAGAAATAATCAGCGACAGGCTTCTTTGCAGGCATGCCCCTTGTATCCTGGGCTGCAGCCTCAAAGACACGATATCTCCTTCCAGGACTGACGACTCTATTATCCGTAACGATGCCGTTGCTCCGACCATATTCGCCGTTACTGCGAGCGACAGTGCCACCGCCACTGGCATCTTCGCCCAGCTCAAGGATAGCGGCAACATTGCCGCAACGGTAGCAGTAGTTCGGAGCGGACCAGACAGTGACGATACCGCCATCAAACATCTCTTTGTATCCCTCCATAACAAGCTGGTGGGCACGCGCGACAAGAGACAACCCGTTGAGATGGTTGAACTGTTTGACGATATCACCACCAAAAAGGAACCCAGCCCCACGAGGACTCAATCCCCAGCCTTCAATCTCATCTGGATCTGACCAGAGCAGATCGCACATGGCACCTTCATGTGGCACCTCTTGCTTGCGGTCAATCAGCCGAATTTTATCGACAGAGTCAATGAGCGGTGACAATCCGCCGTGTACACAGAGCACCGCACCAGTCCGGCTAGTCGCGGCGCTGCCGTTGCCATCGCCGCTCGCGCCTGTCCCCGGTGCACCCGATCGTGAAGGCGCGGCGGCCTGGCCTGGGGCGGCGGAGATGTCTCGCGGCGGGGAGATGTTTCTGGAATCTGTGGATGCGTCGGAAGACGAACGCTGTCGTGCGCGGTACGTACTCATCGTGACTTCGCCTCTGGAATTCAAGACTTCTGTTTCCAGCTCGTTGTCATCGATCGGCATGCTTGATAGTGCTGTGTTGGAGGTAGGTTCTAGCTCTGAGCTCGCGCCGAGCACGATCGCGCCCAGGGCTAGGTAGTCGAACACTTCGCAGCAATACCGCCATACGTTGGCGCTGCCGTATTTGCGAATGCATTCGTCGTAAAAACCGTATACTGTTGTGATTTGGCGTGATTCGTGGTTGCCGCGGATCAGGGTGATGCGGTCGGGGTATCGGACTTTCAGACAAAGGAGGAGAAGGAAGGATTCAAGGGAGTAGAAACCACGGTCGACGAAATCGCCCATGAAAAGGTAGTTGGTATCGGGAACATCGCCGCCGACGCGGAATAGTTCCATCAAATCGTGGAATTGGCCGTGGATATCGCCGCAGATGGTCACGGGAGCGTCAACGGACACGACATTGCCTTCTTCGATCAGGAGCTCACGCGCCTTGTAGCACAGTTCGCGGACTTGGCTTTCGGGGATCAGGCGGCAGGCCCGCAGCTGCTCGATCGCCCTATTACACAAAACATTAGGTTCACGGTGAACGACGGGGTCTAGAGGGTTGAGGGGTTATTGCCATACCGGTCAAGGTCACTCATGCTGTCGAAAGAGGGAGGGAAAAGAAAGGGGGACCTGTATCGAAGTCGAGAAATCCCCAAAGAGAAATCAGATGGCTCAGTTCTCCGAAAAATACAGTCTCATCTTCGCGAAGCTATGATGCGCGACGCAGAGACTTGAGAGAAAGCGGAACATCCAATCACGCGGGAGCCAGATAAGATTAGATGCACCCAAAGCCTTCGCTGTCTTCTCTCCGCACGCTTTCCTTTGAGACACCCTTCACATTTGCTATCGGAGGTTCAGAAGCTTATCAGCTTGAACAATTCCCACTGAACATTCAATTGACCTCCTTTTCCCGCTATTTCTTCCCTTCCTATCCGACTATACCAACCAGCCCACTCCGAGCCCTCCGATGGCCTGAAAAATTCCAGAAACAGTCGGCCACGCTCACCTCGTCTCAATTGAACATCAATACTCGTGCTCTTTCACTTCATACACAATGCCGCCACATCTCCATCCTCGGTCGCGGTCAACCACCGGCCTATTCGCCGGCACCCTCCTCGCATCTCTCCTGGTTGTTGGCATGCCGCACGTCTTCCCCTGCCCGGCCCCACGACGCACCTTTGCCGATTCGGAGATGACCATGACAGCCGATGGACAACAAGTACCACACTTCCGACGCAGACGGCGTAAGGATCTTGAAGTGGGCCCAGAGGGCACTCAGCTGGGTCAGCCCACACCAGTTGTGGTGGACGAGGAGGTCTCGACATTCCTTCAAATGGAGGCGGAAGCAGAGAAACTCTCACACATCAATCGGGAATGCCCCGTTCCCAAACCCAAGGGTGTTTTAGGGGAATTATTGGGCTTCCGCGATGTCCACGCGAATGCCCAGCAGCAAACCGCCCTGTCCGAAGGAGACCAATAATGTGTGCACGTCGACACTCTCCTTCGATTCTTTTGCATTTTGTTTTCTCGGCTTGTTTAATGATACCATGGATTTTGACAATAAGGGTTAGGTGGACCGGGGGGTGTCTAGAAGGAAGACCATGCTCGAGGTCCCAATGCGAGCTAGACCTACAACATATGTATTCTCTATGTACACTGGGATGTATAAAACAAATACCAATTATATTAAGACTAGAATTAGTCAAAAGTTATATACAATTTTCTTAACTAAAAGTGTGCTACGAACTTGAATGCAACTGTATGCTTATATGTAGTAGGCGGAGCCAGCTCCGGCCACCTCGACTATTCCCTCCGTCAACTATCGAGCGTATCTCGCCATGGCATTGAAAGCCAAGAGCTTCGTCTACGACGTGCTCACCAATCAGCGGCATACAAAATGGATTGCACCTCTACTCATTCTAGGCGACGCCCTACTCTGCGCCCTCGTCATATGGAAGATCGCCTGTAAGAGCCGCGTCCAGGTGTCGCGTACTGAACCAGGCCCAGCTAACCAACCAACAACCACAGACACTGAGATTGACTGGTCGACGTACATGCAGCAAGTCTCTCTATATATTTCCGGCGAACGCGATTACCCCCTGATCAAAGGCTCGACCGGTCCCCTCGTCTACCCCGCCGCCCACGTATACATCTACACCCTCCTCTATCACCTCACCGATGAAGGTCGTGATATTCTCCTTGGGCAGGCGCTCTTCGCCGTGCTCTACCTGGCTACACTGGCTGTCGTAGTTGCCTGCTACAGACAAACGGGGGCACCTCCCTACCTTTTCCCGCTCCTTGCTCTGTCTAAACGCCTGCATAGCATATTCGTCTTGCGCATGTTCAATGATGGCGTTGCGACTTTCGCTATGTGGCTTGCTATCTATCTGTGTCTGAGACGCAATTGGACAGCGGGAATTGCAGTGTGGTCTTTTGGGGTTGCGATTAAAATGACACTGGTACTGCTTGTGCCTGCTATTGCGGTCATCACTCTTCTCAGTCTGGGGTTGGCGCGGAGTATTTCGCTTGGAGCTATGGCTGTTCTTATCCAGGTGGGTTCTTAAAGAGCCAATTGAGTTCTGGGGAGTCGAGAGTCGGCTAACGCAAGAAACTACAGGTCCTACTTGCGGTTCCTTTCCTCCAGGCTAACACTACAGGCTACCTCTCTCGGGCCTTTGAGCTATCCCGCCAATTCATGTTCAAATGGACAGTGAACTGGCGGTTTGTAGGAGAAGAAACATTTCTCTCAAGGGAGTTCTCTGTGGGTCTGCTAGTGTTGCATATATCCTTGTTGGCTATCTTCTTCATAAACTGGGTAAATTCTTCAGGGTCGAACGTGGTTCGCTTCCTCCAGGATACTCTCCAGGGACGCCAAAAGACAGTTTCACTCTCAAAATCCTTCACTATGACCGTGCTGTTGAGCTCACTGGCCATCGGCTTGCTATGCGCCAGGTCCTTGCATTACCAGTTTTTTGCATATCTCGCGTGGGCTACCCCATTCCTTCTCTGGCGTGCAGGTATCCACCCGGTTCTTATATACGCCGTATGGGCGCTGCAAGAGTGGGCTTGGAACGTTTTCCCTAGTACAAACGCAAGCTCGGCAGTTGTGGTGTTGTCGCTCACGGTCCAGGTCTTTGGCGTGTTGTTCAATGGCTCGAGCGAGGTAGATCAGAAGTTTGACAAGAGGAGCAGCCGCGGCAAGGCGACTGTCCAAAAATGAGAGATACCCCCGGCCCCAATTCACACTGAGGCGTGCATATTTCAAGAATCATTGGTGATAGCCCAGAATCCCTGTGTACCGTAGCGACTGCCATTGAACAAACGCCTGGTGCCTTTAGAAGGCGATCATTCAGTCTGACTCGTCCGAAGAAGGCATTCGGCCCACACGAGACTCTTCCTCTTCGTCGTCAGAGTCAGCAGCCATTACAACGGTCTGTTTCACGAATTCCTTGGGCCTAGGGGAAAGCAATGCCAATTAGCGAATGAGTTTGTGGCTTATCTTAATCGAAGACACATACCAAAAGGGAGCCTTCCTCCAAGCCTTCTCGTCCCTGACGATATTGACAATTTCCCCTCCAATTTTATTGTCCCGCTCCTCCTGGCCCTTGGTATCGATCACAACGTACGAGCTGCGCTTGATCCAGATAGCTGAGCGGAATCGTGCAGGCAACTCGACGAGCATCTGCTTCTTGTCTGTCTGTTCGACCAAGTAGATGTTGTTTCCGGTGGCTTTAATTGCTCGGACGATCTGCTGAGTGTCGGATAGCTCGTCTGGAGGGGTCAAGGTTCCCTCTGCTGTAGCCAGCATCTTTCGGCGAGGTGGGCCCATTGTTAAATATGCAATTTAAAATGATGGATATCGTAAATGCAGAAACAGTCAAGTGCAAGAGGAAGATGGGAAGGAAATTCTCCGGAAATAATTTGAGATCTTATCGGCGGGGCGGGTTCCCAAGGTTCCCCTGCCCGCATTTACTCCAGTTCCCAAATTGTATGGCATCAAATTATCTTTGATGACCAAAAAGGCTTATTTATACTATTCATAAATGGTCAGATACTTAATCAATGCAATCTTCTTTACGAGGTTCATCTTCAGTCTACCAAGCCATGAGTCTCCTAACATAAATGCCCGCCCTCAGACTATAAATTGAACAACTTTGGACTAGCCAAGAACTCAGGTCGAGTCTGTATCTCGTGAACTTCTAAAATGTCATGAATTACAGTGCTCAGGTCCTTGGTTCCTATCAAACAGCACTAATAATTACTTAGACACACCGCCCTTCGGAGACGCCTCGCACGGTTGTCTATAATTTTCATGATCCGCATCTTTGCAGCGTACAATGACCATGCCCAGGGGTCCTAATTCAACTAATGGACGCGTCTCCAAGACCTGTGTCCTTCTCCGGTCGTTAAATGGGGCAAATATTGCCGCGTTGGAACGGGAGATTGCCACACCCGATGATCAAGTACAGCACCAACTGAACAGCCCTCCGACTCGTCCAGCTCGTGTAGCTCCCAATACACTTGATGATGTACAAGTGAACATCCTTGTTGAATGGATTCGGCAGGAGAAGGAGCTCTTCTGTCTTCCTATGGGACCCCTCATCACAACAAGTGCCAGCCAAATTATTAACAACGATGGGAATGAGGCCACTAGGCATGGGTTGATCTGATCGCTTCATCGAACGCCTACCAGATGACCTAAAGCCGTCCAAAGTGCGATCAGTCAAGAAAAAGCGGATCAATGCATCCGATCAAGAGACTTTGAAGAATTGGTATCCACGTCTGGAGGCTGTGGTTGCCAGTGTTTCCCCAGGAAGTATCTATAATTTCGATGGCACAATCTTCTAAATTGGCCTGGGAATGAAAACTCGAATGGTCGTTACCAGCAGCGATAGGGAATCTGGCCCTTATCAAATAAGAACCTACTGTGAATGGATAAACACGATCGAATGTATAGCCGCCGATGGGTGGGCGGCAGATCCATTTATCCTTATTCAGGGCGACCACTATTTCGACGAGTGGTTGACCTACGAAAGAACTCCCGATGGAACTGGATTCATGCTGAACCCGGGCGGCCGGGTTAGCGAGAAGGCTGCATGCGAGTGGATCGGGTCTTTCCATCGCCAGACCAAAGATCGCACTGCAGATGGCCATCCAAGACAAGTCAACCGCTTTAAGAGCACACGCCCACCGTGGCGGCAGATGCTCAACATGATGGATGGCTAGATTTCATCTCAAGGAGAACTCAATGTGTTTCGTATGCTACTAGGTATTGAGATTATTGAGGTCGGTAGGAACAAAAGGCATAACGCGGGCCTTAAATGCATGACCCCACTAAGGATGCATAGCTATACCCTCATCAAAGAATACTCGCCTACATATGTTTATTGACAAGCAGAGTCCAAATGCGGTCCTTGTTCCTTATAAAACAGGAAATTTATCTTGCGAGGATTCTCCAAATACAGCGTAGCATTGACCAACAGTGACACAGGCCCAATAAGGAAGGTGGACTAGTGCCCAGGTGGACGCCAAGCATACTCTTATTACTACGATTGGTTTGTTTAGATCTCATCCACGGATGGTTATATGCGGATGTTATTAGCGAACGAATGATAAGCCATAGCTAGTCATTGCATTGCATGGAAATTCGCTTTGGGGTTCAGCTCTCGATAACCAGTCCAGCGTAGCATGTATAGCCCCCGACGCTCCGAGAAAGGCATTAAATCCATGGTCTGATGCCTGCCATACGGATAACGAATAATTTTCTCTCGAATGAGATTATACTCTAGCGGTTAGGGCGGACAATAGACAAACCTCACCCCTGCTTCATACTATTTATTGTCTTAATCTGGGGAATGAGCTTGAATTTTGCCAAGTTTATATATTTTACCGTGAGGGAGTTTGTTCCTGAGATCTCTTGTTGGGCTGATAAATGTATGATCTTTAGAATGCGAGGTCTATCCATGAAATAATCGGGCCCAGTCTGCGTGATAATGGTACCTAGGTAGATGTAGGATAAATGCCCTATGTATTCAATCGCTTGGAGCCTTGGCCTTCATCATGTGTGTATTGGTGGTGAAACCAGTGACATCACCAGTTTTAGCCGACAAAAAGAGAGAGATGACCAAGTCATCAGATACGAAGACCTCCGGAGTGCATCAAAAGAAACTAGGATCCCTTATTATTCCTTAATGTATGCAGTAAGGGGTATGTGGCACGATTTCTGTGGCCGATGAGAAATTCCTGACAAAGCGGTGACAATTCCAATCTTTTACAATCTTATAAAGTGAAGTAACAAGCGCGTTGAGACCATTCCGGCTGTCGATCACTGTTGTCAAAGGGTTTGGAAGTATGAGGTGTGTCTTGCTACACGATGTAGTGTACTCCGTCCGTAGATACATCTGTAGATACATCTGTAGAGACATAGGAGTATGCCCGACTTTGGCAATCCGTAAACAGATATCATTAGACTAATATGGAAATATATATACATATATAATATATATAACATATGCAACATCAGATATACTACGGATCTAAAATGATTTAATAAGATTCACATGTTCATATTTAATGACTTCAAGTACTTTTCGCCACTGCCTTATCGGAGGTGCGTGGTAGTACGAACCTCCCCGTAACTCCCTGGACTTCTTTCTTGGGTCTACTCCATCGGGTAAAAATTAGAGGGCTCTCTTTCTTTTCACCTTAACCAATTTGAGCCTTTCCTCTGTTTTTTTTTCTTGGCTCTGGCTTTTATCAATTCAATCTCGGCTGTGAATCGACTGGGCGATCGTCGCGGGCAGTCTGTCTCACATTTTCCGAAGTGGCATTACCCGCGCCCGTTGCGCCCCTTGTCAACAACAGCCCCGCGAATCCTCTCCCACCAACAACCCACCTGGATCTGGCGCAAGCGCACCCTTGAATTTTGAGCCAGCCTTGCTCTTTGCCCCTCGTCAGACCTGCCATCATGGATGGGGACGAGCTGATCGCCTCGGTCTTCCGCAAGATCGAGCGGGAGAAGGCCCTCATTACCGCTGCCAGTAACATGCGGCAGTCGACCGACAATCCCCTCGTGCAACAGAGAGTCGATGCCAACATCCGCGATGGCCGCAAAAATATCGCTTACCTGGAGGAGAAAATGAGAGAATTACAAATCCGTCAAATGAATCAGGAAGGTGGCTCACCCGGCCAGCGTGGAGGCCCGGCCCCCCCGCCCAAAGACCACGGATACGCTGGGGAGCAAGGTGATGGCCACTACCCTCAGGGTGGTGCTGGCTCGATGCCTTCTGGTGCCCCATTCGCTGACCCCCGACCTTACGCTCCGATCCCTAAGGCGAGGCCCAATTACACAAAGCTAGGTACGTTCTTCTATACCGCTCCTGCCAAACCCTTCGAAAAATGCTGCGCTGAGCTTAAATCTCTTGGAATGCTAATATGAATGGCCATGTCTCAGATCTGATCAAGTATGACACTCCATACCTCGGACCGAAGATTCAACTCATGCTGTCTCAATTGGAGTTCAAGCTGAGCGTAGAAATGCAATATAAAGCCGGTATCGAAAAGATGGTCCGGCTGTACCAGGATGAGGGCGACCGGAAGAGCCGAGCTGACGCTGAGGGCCGTCGCATTGAGAGTAACCAAAAGATTCAGCTTCTAAAGCAGGCGTTGAAGCGATACGAGGATCTTCATGTTGATATTGAATCCGCCGATGCACCAGACGGTATGAAAACATGGCAATTTGTCTGCGAGCATAATGCAACATGGTTACTAATCGGCGTGCAGATGAGAGTCTTAGCGCCCCGAACATGCGCAAGCCGCTGACCGGTCTGCTGACGATGCGCATCCATGGAGTCAAGGACGTGGACCATGCGGCCAGTTCGCGATTTTCTCGAGGACCGGAGACATACATTGTCGTCAAGGTTGAAGACACGATCAAAGCGAGAACCAAGGCCACCCGAAACGATAAATGGCTGGACGAAAGCTTTTCTATGGATATCGATAAGGCAAACGAGATCGAATTGACTGTCTATGACAAGTCAGGAGATCGTCCAGTACCGATCGGTATGCTTTGGGTGCGCATTTCTGATATCGCAGAGGAGATGCGTCGTAAGAAAATCGAGACGGAGCTCAACGCATCTGGCTGGGTATCTGCAGATAAGATGGGCGATGGCGGATCTCCTCGACACGACCACGCCGGCTCTCCTATGGGCTCTTCACATGGCCCTAGCCCCGGAGGACGCCCGGGCACCTCGGGACATGGTGCACATGGACACCATGGTGGCGAGAGCTCAAATGCTCCCCCGTCTGTGACGATTGATTCATGGTTTGCCCTGGAACCGGTTGGCCGAGTTCAGCTTCAAATGAGCTTCGGTAAGACTAACTTGGATCAACCCTAAAATAAGCAGCCCCATGTGCTAACTGGATATAGCCAAACAACTGAAGGACCGCCGTCCCTTTGATATTGGTCTTAACCGTCAAGGTGCCGTGCGTCAAAAGAAGGAGGAGGTTCACGAGAAGCAGGGTCATAAGTTCGTCACCCAGCAGTTTTACAACATTATGCGATGTGCACTGTGTGGAGAATTCCTCAAGTATGCTGCCGGTATGCAATGTGCGGACTGCAAGTACACCTGCCACCGCAAGTGTTACTCCAAGGTTGTCACCAAGTGTATCAGCAAAGCCAACTACGAGACCGATCCGGACGAGGAGAAAATCAACCACCGCATTCCCCACCGATTCGAAGGCTTCTCCAACATCTCCGCGAACTGGTGCTGCCACTGTGGCTATCTGCTTCCGTTTGGACGCAAAAATGCCAAGCGCTGCTCTGGTAGGCATATCACTGACATCGCAGCTTATTTCTAGTTTATGCTGACCTCTTTTATAGAATGTAGTCTTACCTGTCACGCTCAGTGCACTCACCTTGTGCCCGATTTCTGTGGAATGACGATGGAAGCCGCCAACCAAATTATCGAGACATTGATTCGCACCAAGCATCATAACAAGTCTGCCTCTGTTAGTTCTGGCCTCAGCAACCGTACCCTCCGAGCAGGCGGCCCGCCGCAGCCCGCTCAAGACAACGCTGCCCTCTCCTACCCCCAAAAGCCGATGGAAGGACCCTACGGGGTTATTCCTAGACAACCCTCCGCAGAAGCGGTAAGCGCTGCCACTAACTCCTTCGTGACCCCACAGTCACCAACTGCCGTTACTGCACAGGCTGCACAGCGCCAACAGATGGCACCGAAATCGCCCACAGGACCTGCCGCCGCCGCCGCCGCTGCCGCCGCAGCTACCGGGCTCCGTAGCCCCCAGCAACCCCCAAGTATGCAATTTCCGATCATGCGTTGAAGAGAGACTCTTGGTACTAATTAAATATTAGCCGAAATGGGCCGTCCCATGCCACCACCCCAGGCACCTGCGCAGCCTCAACACGCCCATTACGACCCATCCGCTTATGCCAATTTCCCGCAACAGCCTCCACCCCAGGCTATGCAGAAGGTGCAGCCTGCGGCTTATCCAATGGCGCCGCCTCCTCAGCCCATTCAGCAACCCATTCCCCAACAACAGCAAGTTGCATCTCCTATCAAGGAGGACGCTGCAGCGCAGGCAAAGGCTCGCATCGGATTGGATCACTTCAATTTCCTTGCTGTTCTCGGAAAAGGTAATTTCGGAAAGGTCATGTTGGCTGAGACAAAGAGCTCCCGCAAGTTGTATGCCATCAAGGTGTTGAAGAAGGAATTCATTATCGAGAACGATGAAGTGGAGAGCACCAAGTCCGAGAAGCGTGTTTTCTTGATCGCAAACAAGGAACGTCACCCATTCCTTGTCAACTTGCACGCTTGTTTCCAAACTGAAACTCGTATCTATTTCGTCATGGAGTATATCAGTGGTGGTGATCTCATGCTGCACATTCAGCGTGGTCAATTCGGCCTCAAGAGGGCACAGTAAGTACTATGCTTAGTATTTGCCCTATTTCGGGGAGTTGGAAATGCTCACATATTTTAGATTCTATGCCGCCGAGGTCTGCTTGGCACTTAAGCACTTCCACGAGAACGGTGTCATCTACCGTGACTTGAAACTTGATAACATTTTGCTGACCCTGGATGGTCACATCAAAATTGCCGATTATGGTCTTTGCAAGGAGAACATGTGGTATGGTGGCACAACAAGCACGTTCTGTGGTACTCCTGAATTCATGGGCCCAGAAGTAAGTGGGATCAAGTTTGTTTGTGTCTTTTCGAAGTGCTGATGAGCTAATTTTTTTGTTATAGATTTTGCTGGACAAGAAGTATGGACGGGCTGTGGATTGGTGGGCATTCGGTGTTCTCATCTACCAGATGCTTTTGCAGCAGTCTCCGTTCCGTGGTGAAGATGAGGATGAAATCTACGATGCCATTCTTGCCGACGAGCCTCTCTACCCCATTCACATGCCTCGTGACTCCGTGTCGATTCTCCAGAAGCTATTGACTCGTGAGCCCGAGTTGCGTCTGGGCTCCGGTCCCACCGATGCTCAGGAAGTGATGTCTCATGCCTTCTTCCGCAACATCAACTGGGATGACATCTACCACAAGCGGGTTCCCCCGCCATTCATCCCCACAATCAGCAGTCCCACCGATACCAGCAACTTCGACCAGGAGTTCACCAGTGTGACTCCAGTCCTGACGCCTGTTCAATCCGGTAAGATCTTTTGGGCTTATTGTGTGTTTGCTGGAAGATGAACTGTAACTGACCGATCCTTTTTTATTTAGTACTTTCGCAAGCCATGCAGGAAGAATTCCGTGGATTCTCTTACACTGCTGACTTTGCTTGATTTCACCGATGTGTGATCGGGACATTTATTGCTTGCTTGGACACCTGTCACGAGTTGTTGACGAGGGTGTCAATTCGGTTCATACGGGGTTTAATGCCGACACGTCTGGTTTTTTCAGGGCGCCGCGGGTTTTCCGCCCTTTCCAGCACTTCTTGCTCTTCAAATTGCTTCAACATACCCAAGCGCAGTTTCGTTTAAAGTGCCGGTGTAGACCGGACCTCACTGACATGCTTCGACCACCGGATACCCTGGTTAATGAAACCTCCAGGTTGCTTTTGCTTTCTCGATTCCTTTGTGTGTTTTTCTAAATTGCTTGCTCTATTTTTCCCTTGAGTTCTTTTTTTCTTTCCAAGTTTTCCTTCCGACTGGTCGGGTTTATGACTCTATTCTATGTCGGGCATTTGATGTCCAAAAAAGGGGGAGGGGACGGGTTGCCGTATGGGAATTGCGTGAAGTGGTTCCGAGAGAGTTTGATGAGAGTTTGATGAGAAATGACGAAGTTTGAAGATCTATGAAGATAGCGTAGGTCCCTTCAGGGATTCCTGCGCGTTATGTCCAGTATTATGTCCTAGTGGTTCGTGGCATGGAGAGAAGGAGATACAAATACGAACTAATCCATCCCATCTCTTCATCTTGTCGTTGGATCATGGTTTTATATGTATTGGGCACATGCATACATGGATAGATGCACATTTGCAGATCAAATCCTGGGATGCGCCTGCTCTTTTCCTTTCCAAGTCGAGGGATGCCCTACCTTGCTCCTTCCCAAATAGTTCCAAATAGGAAGCTAAACTTCGTGTGCCTTCCTCTCTTGCGAAACCACGTACACGTCTCTGTTTATCTTGTTTACCCTTGACCTCTGCTATTCTGCTGTTCTTCTCTTCTTCTCTTCTTCTCTTCCAATTCACGACATCGTTTTAACTCCACTGCCCAGCCAGCCTCTTTTCTTTGTTCCAGAAATAGGCCAAGCTACCGATGTCTATTCCAAAGATGCTGCCAAAAATTAAACGCCTGTTTCGTCGGGGCTTTCGGGCCTTGAGTAGACCTACCGAGACCGTGCCTTGGAGCAACAAAGAGAACCTGCCCTCGGGCAACAAAGAACTCTCGCCCCCGGGCAACAAAGAACACACCCCTCCCTCCACTCCAAAGGTGAGCCAACAGACATCGAGCTCCCGCCCCATCAGAAGATGGCTTGAGAACGTGACTCTCCCTGTCAATGGGTCTCTCATCAACAGGGTGCGACCCAAAGTCGATAATATCGACTTTCACATCAACTTCTCTAGTTCAGAATCAAGATCCACTCCAGCCTGGTTCAACGACACTTGGGACAACGACCCCGAGATTCAACGTTTCCTGTGGGAGTACGAGGTTCTCCACGCCACCAACTCACATCCTTCTCCCTCTCCTGGTACCTCGGTCCTGCCACAACCGGCGGTTGCAGCTCCTCCCCTCGACCATCCCGAGGAGCCGGCAAGCTTCTCATCGCTGAACACCATGCCTGACACGGTTGTTCAGCTGAAACAACAGGGTCAGCTTGTGAGTCTTGTCTTTATCATAGCTTATCATATCACTTTAACCTCGTTTATCTCTCTCTCGCCAGTCCTCTTCTCACTCACATCTTACTAACTTCCACACCAGTTGGCCTCGGCCCAAAAACGGGCCTTCTTCCCTGATGACACGGAGTCCCATTACCTGGCTAAGCGAGTTAAACTCGAGCCAGAGGGATCTGCGACAAAGCGCAAGCGGCCCGAGGACACTGATGTCAGTGAGGACGACAATTGGGACTCTGATCCCCCCACCTCGCCTGAGTACAAGATTTCCAGTGCGAGTGATGGGGGTGGTAGTGATACCAGTGGCTCTGCTTCCTTGCCATCCGCGAAGCGAGTGAAGAGGGCTGCTTTTCATCCCTCTGCCAGTAATGGCCGCCCGCTGAAGCCCAAGGCCAAAAAGGCCAAGAGGAAGAAGAAGAATATGACATGGGATTCGGATAGGTCAATGTCTGAGCCAAGTGACCTTGACTACGAGAGCGAGGAAGAATACTTTATTCTGGCAGGGGAGCGCGACGATGAGCTACTCAATAATAAGCTGACCCGAGAAAGGGCAAAGCGCCTACTTGAAGCAGTCGAACTTCCCCAAGGCCACGACCTGTCACCAGACGAACAGCGGACTGCCCATCAACTTCTTGCTCGTGGCTGCATGCCAACCATTCACAGACACTGGGAGAAAGATTTCTCCACCCTTCCAGAGTCACTGTTCTTTTCTGGAAAAGACGACGAAACTCAACGTAACGAATCTCACTTTGTCCTTGAAAACAATAAGTGCTCCGAGTTTTACGCGATTCGGGCCTTTCAAGAGCTTTTAAAGATATGTGGCAATGTGAGGGACTACTGCAATATTCTTGACATCGGTCCTGGGATTTACATCAAGAAGTCGATAGAGAAATACCTGCGCTGGGCATTGAGCGACGCCGGTGTCAGAGTCCAGCCGGAAACACCCCCTGTGCACATCATCTACTGCCAAAATCAGGACGAAGAGCCAAAAGAAGCCTTTAGCAAGGTTGCTAAAACATTAGAGAAGCTATCAAATACCTGGCAGAGCCTACTTGCTGCACCCCATGACGGCGAAGCAGCCTGGCCGGCATTGATGGGACTTGTTCTCTGTGGACCTGTTCTTTCTGTTATTTCTCTTGACACCAATCCCAATCCTCAAACCCAGACACAAGGAATCAAGTTCCTAGGTCATTTCGACCTTTCAGATTTTGATAATGATGTTTGGAACACCCTCGCTGTCGCGATCATCGTCATGCACATCAAAAGAACTGTGACCAAACTTGCGAAAGCCTACGATCACAGATTTGTGGCCTCGATCGTTGATGACCCTGCCATGGGTTCCCCAGATCTTGATCATTAATTGCCATCGTGTTAAGGATCTATGAGATTCTTTGGCCGCAATCACTTTTGGCTTGCCACAAAGAACTCTTGAAATATATATATCAAATAAACCACTGGGGAAACAATTCCTCTGCTCCCTAATCGAAACACTGGGTTCAATTAAACATGAGACTCCCTATCATAATCATTTCAAGGTTGATATGCATGTCTTTCGGTGATGGTACGATTTTTCGAGGAACCCTCATTGACAATTTAGCGTGTGAACTTTGACCCATGTACAAGTAATTTACTGAATGACGTGCTTTGACCTTTTCCTATACGTAGAAATGTAGATGATAATAGGTTCACACCAGGTACGAATGCTCATGTATGCTAGTGGAGCTCAGTACACGCGTGAAGCAACCATTGCCAACGGAAGTGTCGCGACCAATGTAAGGATTGATTTGCTCGTCACCTCTCCACTTTTGCTGAATACTTGTTTCCCCCATCTGTTTTTCAATGATCTTCGAACCATCCTTGTCATTGTACTTCGATGAGCTCAATCTAAAAAACAAAAAATTGTGTTGTTGGGAATCAGGAGATCCCCCAGCGCCCTAAAAAAAATATTGCACGATGATCTCCGAAGACCAGGGGACCACGGAATCCTCCCCATTGCTGCGCGACATCGACCCAGAAGCAGCAAGCAATTCCAAGAAGTCAGGATGGCGACAAGAATTAGCAATTATCTCGCGATACTCTGCCCCGCTCATGATATCGCTCCTACTTCAACATGCATTGACCGGTTCTAGCATCTTCATGGTGGGCCATCTGGGGAAACGAGAGATCGGGGCCGTGAGCCTGGCCAACATGACTGCCCAGATCACTGGATATTTTGTCTTCCAAGGACTAGCAACATGTTTGGATACTTTATGTCCTCAGGCATATGGCTCAGGAAACTTAACCTTGGTCGGTCTTCATGTTCAGCGACTGACCCTTTTCATGCTCGTCCTCACAATCCCAATTGGAGCTATATGGTGGAATGCGGATCAAATGTTTCTCTTCCTTCTTCCGTCCGAATCCCAGGAGACGGCTCTTCTCGCAGGGCTGTATCTGAAAATTGCCATCGCCGGCGCTCCCGGCTATGCTTGCTTTGAGTCCGGAAAGCGATTTTTCCAAGCACAGGGATTGTTCAGTGCTAGTCTGGTAGTTCTGTTGATATGTTCTACATTGAACATTTTCATGGGCTGGTTATTTGTTTGGGTATGCTATTTAACATTGGAACTCCTCCGAGCTTTTTACTGATATCCATTCTGTTCTAGAGACTGCAATGGGGCTTCATCGGTGCGCCTATCGCTGTCGCGGTCGCAAACAGTCTCCTGCCCGTCTTTCTGGCAATCTACGTCATTTTCTTCAAGGGCTCCGAATGCTGGCACCCCATTTCTGCCGAGATGTGGCGCGGCTGGGGTCCAATGTTGCAGCTTGCCATCCCGAGTTGGCTAATGATCGAAGCGGAGGTCCTCGCATGGGAAATCATGACCATCATTTCGTCCCGGCTAGGTGCGACCGAGCTCGCAGCCCAAGCTGCTATGTCGACTCTTTCAGACTTTGCGTTCCAAATCTCGTTTTCCATCGCTGTTGCGGGTGGCACACACATTGCCTATCTGATCGGAGCAGGATTCCTCCAGCGTGCGGCAACAGCAGCTAAGGTTATGGTCCTTGCTGCCTTCGGGGCTGGTGTATCAAATATGCTTGTGCTTCTTGCTCTCCGGAGTGTTATTCCGGGCTTATTTAGTGATATCGGCGAGGTCTGGCACTACATCTTCTTTCTGCTTCCATTGGGTGCTGTAGTTCAAATCCCCGATGCCGTGGCTACTTCCCTCAACAGCTTGCTGCGCGCTGTGGGACGACCAGATCTCGGTAGCTATGTTCAGCTCTCGATCTACTACCTCGTGGGATTGCCCTTGGGTATTGCGTTCGCGTTTGGCTTGGATTGGAGCATTTTCGGGCTATGGTGTGGGATCCTTATCGGTCAGTCGATCATTGTGTCGATCGAGGGCTTTTATTTCTGGAAAATGGTGGATTGGGCGAAGGCATCCAGAGAAGCGGTAGAGCGGATGTGATTATGGAGCGAGCTTCTCAAGGGTGAGACCGCCGAAACAGCTTCAGACGCTACAAAATATATCATATACACGATGAATATAACATATTCCTTTCTCTCTTATCTACCTGTAGACACAAGAAGAGCCCATATGGGCAAAGAATATCTAAAAAGATATCTAAAAAGACACCCAATGAACGAAATGAGAAACTTGTCATATACGCAGGCGTCACATGACCGGTCCCGCTGTTGACGCTATTCCCAACACTGCAATCCTCAAGACGCACTGCATCAACCATTCCATCATGGATGCCGCCGAAGATCGAGACGTGAAGCTTCAACGGGCCTCTGGGGATTTGGTGTCCGAGTTTTCCGCAAAGCTGCCCTCGCTCTTGTGGAGAGCCCAAACTGGCACTCCCCTCCGCACCCCACGTAAATGGGCACCGGTCACCAAAACAAATAAGCTTGTCAGCCTTGTAAGACAGCACCACATAGTTCTCTCTCTTGACTATATTTCTGTGCATATTTACTAATGATAAATATAGCTTGAACCCTTTCAAGAGTGGCCTCAACTCTTAGATCCACATTTGCAGACATTGCTGCCTCCTTTAGTGGACGCTTTTCTAGCATATCTGATCAAGCATCGCACTCAGTATGGCTCTGTTTTGGCGAAGTCATCCCAGACAGGAAATATGTATCCCCTGCCAAGAGCCATTTGCAGGTTACTTTACACTTTCTGCAAAGTCCGTGGCGTCAAAGTGATTAGTAGGTTCTTGAATAATGAGCCGAAATATCTTGATTCAATGCTTCGGGCCTTCATCGAATGGGATGCGGTCCAGCCATCTAATTCTGGAGAACTGGCCGAATCTGAAATCCAGCGACTCATCTGGGAAGAACGCTATGTGATGCTGGTCTGGCTTTCACATCTTTTGCTTGCTCCCTTTGACTTGTCATCTCTATCATCAGATAACATTCCGGTCCCTTACGACAATCTGCAACAGTTGACTTGGTTGCCATCTGAGACTCCTATGCTTGCCAGGTCACTTCTTTCCTTGTCATTGCATTATATTGGTGCGTCGGGCAAAGAACGCGAGGCAGCCACAGCACTTTTGGCACGGCTGGCTTTGCGTGGAGACATGCAAGCTCTCGGTATGCTTACAGGTCTGACGAAGTGGGCATTTGCTGCAATCCAGCCGGCGGAGAATGTCGAATCGCCCTCTGTCTATGCCTGTATTGGGGTCCTCACATTCATTGCCCGCTTGTGCGCATCAGGTCAGGTAGAGGACTTTGCGCCCTTGATCAATTATGTCTTCCAGCAGACCCTCAGTGTATTTCAAGGGAAGTCTCCGGTATCTGTGACAATCCAGTCTTCGGCGTTGGCCAGAAAGATCGTTGTCAAGATCCTTCGCAACATCACGGTCATGGCCTTATCTTTAAGTGAGCGAGGTGATGCCCGCATCACAGATGATCAGTTATCGACCATATTGGAAGATGCAATTGATCATTTTTTGGTCTCCTTGGCCGACAAAGATACACCTGTGCGATTTGCCGCGAGTAAAGCACTCAGCATTATCACATTGAAATTAGACCCAGAAATGGGAACTGAGGTCATCGAAGCGGTCATTGGCTCCCTGGGAGAGAATATCCTCTTCGAAAAAGACGATGGCTCCCTCGTGACGCCATTTGAAGCACGGAAAATTGGCACACACGCCCTTAAACGTAATCTTAGTGCAGTCGATGCCCAGCGATGGCAAGGATTAATCCTGACACTGTCACATTTACTTTTCCGCCGGGCACCTCCTATTCACCAACTCCCTGAGATTCTTCAATCCCTTGTGTCTGGTTTGGGCTTCGAGCAAAGGTCTTCTACTGGTGGCTCCGTGGGAACTGGTGTACGAGATGCCGCATGCTTTGGTATTTGGGCCATGTCTCGAAAGTATACAACTCGAGAACTCCTGGCGTTGCAGCCCCAGGTAGTGGCATCGCAATCTGGCCAGAAAGAGGTCGATGTTCTGCAAAAGCTGGCTGTGGAACTCATCTGTGCTGCCTGTATCGATCCATCTGGGAACATCCGACGCGGGTCGTCTGCTGCGCTACAAGAGTTGATTGGTCGCCATCCTGATACCATCGCGCAGGGAATTCCTCTCGTGCAGGTTGTGGATTACCATGCCGTTGCACGACGTTCTCGTGCACTAATTGATGTTGCTAAAGCAACAGCGTCTCTAGATCAGATTTACTGGAGTCCACTTCTGGACGCTTTGATGGGTTGGAGAGGTATTGGTTCTCCGGATGCCGAATCAAGAAGACATGCGGCCAAGTCCATTGGAACTTTGAGTACGCAGGAGCTATTCAAGACTATGAATCTGGTCCTGGACAAGTTACTGCAAATGTTCTCCAGCATTTCTCGGAATGATGTGGAATCACGGCATGGCTGTCTGTTGTCTATTGCTGCCACAGTCGATGCTTTTACTTCCCAATGGGAAGAATCAGCGGGGAAGAGAGATACCCCGGAAGCCAGGGCTGTTTCTTCTCAAGTGGCCAATATCTGGGATATCTTTGGTTCTGCATCAAGCCCTACCGATGATGACTTGACCTTCCAGACTTCACGCCCTGAGCTGACAGCGGAGGCATCATCTTGCTTGATCTCCTCGCTCTCTCGGTCTACCATCACAACAGGTCTGGCTCGGCCTTTAGAACCGCTTCTGAACCGAACACTCCAAATTCTGTCCCTCTGTGTTTCTCGAAGCGATGATGTCTCGATTGAAACATCTTCAACCGCCTTGGCACATCTGTTTCCTCTCTTATCGCCATCAAAACAGGAAGAAACCGTGCGTACTTGGTTCTCTCATCTCCGTACTTCATGGAGATTGCCAGCAGGTCGCGGTCAAATTCTAGCACTCGGTACAGTGTTCAAACAACTCGGAGCACAAAGTGATGTCCAAGAAGACATCGTCACTGAGATTCTTCGTTACACCGGGAAGGAAGAGCTCATCGAGAAACGAGTTGCTGCTGTCAAATGCTTGGCCACTAGTATCTTGCCCTATATGGGTATGTTCAATATCTCTTCTTTACTGGCTGGTACAAACATGGGCTAACAAAATGTTAGCTGCCACCGATACAATTGCGAGCAACTTCGTCGAATTCTTGAATGATTATACCACTGACAGACGAGGTGATATTGGATCTCTTATTCGAGTGGAGGCAATCCAAGCAGTCGGCGTTTTGCTTCAGAGACAATCGGACGCAGCATCACGCTCACCACTGATTCAAAACTTAGTCGGGTGTCTTTGCCGTCTTGCATGCGAAAAGCTCGACAAAGTGAGACTCCAAGCATGGCTTTCTCTACAAGACTTCTGGGAATCAGCAGCGGATCTACCCCCACTTGAAAAGTAATCAATTACCAATAAAGCAAACTTCTAAAACGGATGCTAACAGAAACAGAAAATTCGAGCACTTCAGTCATGTTTCATCACAGGAATACTTCGCTCAGCTACTTACTCTGCACGATATTGAGTGGCTTCGGCTTCCTTTGTTGCAAGGACTGGCTACCTCTGCTATCTCAGGAGCAGAAGGTCTCGTCCGAGCATCTCGCTCAGCTCTGACCCAGTTCCTCAATTCCCAAGCCGAACCACGACGCCAGGAGATATTGATGATATTTTTGCAGGATCTCTCCACAGTACTGAGTGACAACCTTCAAGATGACCGTTTTGCCATTCCTGCCGTCGAGTTTGTTGCATTTTTAATTGACAGCTACATCCCTGTCATCCCGGAAGGCTCAGATGCAAGGTTTGTAAACTCGTCTTCTGTTGCTTGTATATCTACATCATCCTCTAACATTTTCCTTCTCTCTAGTTTCCGAAAATTGTTCACGCTAGTCCAGAAAGCACACTTCAGAACTGCAAATATAGCTCGATTGGAAGCTGCAGTCAAAGTCTATGCTGCATTATCAAGGATTGACTCGTTACGAAATGGTGTTTTGAAAAAGATGACTGGACTGCTTTTACATCCTTTCCCAAGGGTACGTTAGACCTCAAACTTGTAGATTTATGGTATTAACAGTTGGCTATCTTAGGTCCGATCAAGCACTGCGGAATACCTGTTTGTTATGACAGATTCTGAGATTGTCAAGTACGAAGATTGGTCTGCTTCGCCTAAACAGTTGAAGGATCAGGTGGATAATTTGAAGGTCACTTTTTCTCTGGAGGGATAGACAACAGTTCCATAGAAATACCGTGGAACTTAGATACCAATCGAATTAATAACAACAGCTGAGAATATAAGATACAAAGCATGGAAGGACATGGGGTGTGAAATCTCCGGGCTTTGGTTGTGATGAGTACCATTAGTACTCGTAGGTGTTGAGCCAGTACTCGTGCTCGTGCTAGTACTTGTCGCGCTAGGCTTGCTCGAGTGATCCTCCGCAAAGAAGTTAAATATGTACTGAGTCGCATTGAATTCAGACTTGCCCAACGGGCACTGTGCAGCATTTCGGATATAGTCATCATTGCCAACAGTGCTTGGCCAGCAATGGCCATTGTCATTCTCACGGTAGTGCTGAACAATACCTGTCAGCCCGTTACAGTCCCAAGAAGCATGCTTCACAATCGGGTCATTAAAGACAGTTATGTTGCTGGTTGGCTGCGAGTTGTTCGCACAACCATTTTGGGCCGCCCAGGCCTGCAGGATATCAATGACAGGCAGCTTGGATTCCCCGTCGCCATCGATAGGCGCTGTCGTATCAATCGTTCCATGGAATTCCAGGAAAGGATACCCTGAATCCCGCTTAGCGGGGGCGCAAGGCCCCACACCCTTAATATCGTCGGTATCGTACCAAGCCCCACTAACAGCCGCAAAGGCCGCAAACCGGCTTCCAACTGTGGCGTTGCATGCAATGACGCTGGCAAAACCACCGCCATTCGACTTGCCCGCTGCGTATACGTTGCTCGTGTCGATGCAGAGGGTTTCTTCCAGGTGCGTGAGCAGATCGTTGGTGAAGTCTAGATCGTTGGGGCGCGACGTCTCTGCAAAGGGGTTGGAGAGCCAGTAGCCATTCTGGCTGTTTGGGTAGACGGCGATTCCGTTGGGGTTAAAGAATGGGTTTGAAAATTGTGACAGAGATTCTTCCTCTATCATGTCACGCGATGCCCCGTGGAAGGAGAAGTATACCGCTGTTGGCGTGTCCTTGTCATAGTTGGCGGGAATGAACAATCTGTATTCCCGGTCTGAGTCTGGGAGAGTGAGGGACTTGCTTGAGCCTGCTTTTGGGTAATTGGAAGGAATGTCTTCGCCGCAGCCTGGTGTTTTGGCTATGCTTGTGCCCGCGAGGGCTGCGAGGGATAGTAGTGATGTGAGATACATATTGTTTGGGCCCAGATGGCCGGCTAGTTTCTTGATGAATACATAGTCTGGGTTTTGGAGGGGATTGAGAGATACGAAATAAACAAGTACGCAACCCCTTAGGCTGAACTAGCAGAACGGAGATCCGTCTGCAGGTCTCAGAAAGGTGGACCCCAAAGCACATGCCAAGACTCCATAGCCACGGGTGTCCCCTTCAGAATTATCTTATCTTTTCCTTTCAAACCTTACATTTACACCCAACGCTTAAATATTGGCCTTGATCTACCTGATCTACATAAGTCCACTTCAAGTCCACGCGTATACGGAGTATATACCCAGGTACGGAATTTTACTTTTCTATTAATAAAATGAGAGGCCTGATCGACAATACGCAAAACGCAAAGTTGATGATTAGAAATGTAACCTTTGGAACTTTATCATGCCTTATGCATAAATTGGGCATCAGCCATACCAAAATGGGAAGACCTAATTAAAGATAATAGGTGCACAGTCCCATATGGAGTAAATGGATACAAAAAGCAGGGTGTGTGTGGGGCACTTGCGTGTGGCAATTGGTAAAAGATAAAAATGAACTTGGAACAAAAAAGAAAACTAAAAAAAGAAGTGCATCATCCGTGAATCGAACACGGGCCTCGTCGATGGCAACGACGAATTCTACCACTAGACCAATGATGCTAGTTGATGTATAGTGGCCCACAATTATGCAACATATCTCTATTTTACACCCAATCTCATCTCCTCCGCCTCAAGTCAACCGGAAGCTCGACCTCGTTGGTTTCCAGAGCTCCAACAATCGCAAACATGGCAGCCGTCTCCGCAGCTGGCATTCCTCCAAATGCCACGTGAGTACTATACTATATCTGTGTAATCTATTCCCATGCTAACAAGTCTTTGCAGAGTATATGTGCGCCTGTCCCTCCCCCTCTATCTCCATCATATCACCACTCCGCTCCCGCATTACCATACTGACGGATTCCTTTGCGTTGATTAGGTCAAGAATCTAGACGAACGAATTAAGGTTGACCAGTTGAAGCATGCCCTGGAGGAGATCTTCTCCGAATATGGCACCATTCTAGAGGTCGTCGCAAAGACCAACCTCAAAGCAAAGGGCCAGGCCTTCATCGTCTTTGACAACGTCGACTCCGCGACCCGCGCTATTGAGGATATCAATGGCTTCGATCTCTTTGAGAAGCCTATGGCGCTGGATTACGCGAAGACACCTAGTGATGCAACAGTCCAGCGGGAGGGTGGCAGCGACGAACTGGAGGCTCACAAGCGGAGACGCTTAGCTGAGAAAGGTACGTTGAACAGACGCTGGCGCACCATATGCAAGACTCAATCCATGCTAATAATCGTCCTCTTACAGAGCGCAAACAAGCCCACGAGGCTCTCGAAGCACAGAAGAAACTCAAGCGTCCTGCTGCCGCTGTCGAACCTGCACGCCCAGCCAAGACCACCAAAGGTGCCGGCCTCAAGCCCACCACTGCTGCCACAACCGCTGTCGTTCCCGACGAGTACCTCCCACCCAACAAGATTCTGTTCTTGCGGGAACTGCCAGACGACGCAACCCAGGAAGGTCTGTCTGCTATCTTTGGGCGGTTCGAGGGATTCCAGGAAGTCAGATTGGTGCCTGGGCGCAAGGGAATTGCATTCGTCGAATACGAGGCCGAGGCTGGAGCAATCAGCGCCAAGGAGGCTACGTCGGGCATGCCTATGGGCGACCAGGGCAAGGCGATTCGCGTTACCTACCAGCGACAGTAGTCGTGGGTGGTTTGTTGCACCCTACAAAATATCCCGGTCTTGTTCTTTCTGGCGTTTGGAAGGTCTTGTCTCAAGTACATGTGTATTAGAAATCCGGAGAGCTTTATCACTGTTCTCTTGCTATAGCAATGCGTCAAGATTGCGTATCACATGAAGTTCAATATTTCCTAAAGTAGATGAAACGAGCCATAAGGCTAAAACGAGTATGAGCATACAAAGTGGTACATATCGCGGTCAAAGAAGACGTCAACAAGAAAAGAGTATCAATACGAAACAAATAGCAGTCTAGAAAATGACATCGTTGTCTTCCTGTTCGCCCAGGACATCTACCGTCTCTTCCTCTTTGGCGAAGATAGCAGTAGCATCAGGTACCTTTGGGTTTGCTGCTTGCTCTTCTGCTGCCTTTTGCCGGGCCGCGAGGAGCTCGGCGTCCGCGGCGGCAACGTCTCTCTGCTTCTTGCCTGAAACCTTCTTCAGGCGGTAGAATTCCTCTCGGTCGAGCTCATCGAGTTCGGAGTTAATGTCTTTAGAATGGTTAGCCTGTGCAAGGGACACTGGAAGTAGACTTTACAAACATTTGAGAGTGTTCTCGGTTCGAGGAATGATAACATGCTCACTATTGAAGATATGTTAGTATCCTGCACAAGGACCGAATGCTGAGTTCTAATCTTACATCGCATTTACTATATCATGCAAGTTAGTTACCAGCCGTAAGCCGCCACAATCCATGAGAAATTGACTTACCTCTTCGATTGACAACCTTGATCACCTCATCCAGAATGAGGAATGCAGTCTGGTACAATTGGTGAGCGATATCCCAGTCCACTGCATAGATACAATGCATACCTGTAAGCTTGCCAGTTCTACCAATGTCTCCACGGCCCGTGCGTATGTCTCCCGACAGCGTTGAATCTGCTGTCCTCCCTTTCCTAGACCGGTCAGGCCGAAGTCATTGACGCCATCCTGCGTATAGCTTTCGAATGTAGGTAAAAGGACACCGGAGACGTTCTCTTGCTTGGCTCGCACACGGAAACGAGCCTGCTTGGCGGACTCCTGGATCTGGTAGCCGATATCTCCGCCTACCGCATAGCTCACTTCGGCCAGCGAGAAGGCAGCAATCTGCATGACTCGACCCATCTTTTGTTTGGCTTCATCGATGCGGCGTGTAATGTCTGTCGAAGAATGATTAGCACCTTGATAAGGCGGGGAACGGGAATGTGTCGCATCATACCTCGGAAACGTCTGTCGGATAGAGGGTTAGCATATCTCTAACGAGCAATATAGACACAGAAATCTTACTTTGTTAGAGCCTCACTCTTTCTCTTTAGTAAACTGTGGCCAATCTCCGCCCCCTTCAGCTTGTTCTTCATCAACCCCAATGATTGGCGAGTTGGGAATACTGGCTCTCGGCCCTGAACAGATGTCAGATGAAATCAATATGAGATTCCAGTTCCACAATAAACTCACCACAGCGCCGGACATGATTGCGGCAGAACAAAGATCACAATATAGTCCTTGTTGTTTAGCTAGAGCAACGCGGCCACATTGGTATGACGCCGATAAAGCTCCACCGCCCACCTGATACAGATTAATCACGTGCCACGATCAATGTGGGAACCTCATCCGTCAACAGGTTTGGCTTTAAACGCGCACGCTAGCAGCTTCTTGTTTATGCAATTTTCCTTTATGCTGACACGTTGATCGTGTAATTGGATTTCGCTCGACTGAGTGGCGCAATGCCAGGGACGCTTTTGCCCCCGAGATCCCACCGGCAGCACGCAGAGATGGATCGACCATCTGCGTCCCGGCCGGACCTCTACTTGATCGTAAGTTTTGAACCATTGGACCGTTTGAACTTGAAGCTTACTTGCATTTCATCGCTAGACTGATCAAGACATCATCTACGAACAGGATCTGCTTCGCGATGCTAGCAGTGTCAAGCCATGGCTTGCCTATATCGAATTTAAACAGCAAAATGGCACGCTCTATGAGCAAGCATTTGTATGTTCTCACCCACCACAACCCAGTCGCGAAAGATCATCACTAATATAATGGCTTTTACCAGGTCATGGAGCGCGCTTGCAAGCAATTACCGCGTTCATACAAGCTCTGGAAGATGGTAAGTGACATTTAAGAAAAAAGTCAAAGTCTCTGCTTTTACTGACTTTCCTAGTATCTGGAGTTCCGAACAAAGCACTTGAAGGGCCGCAACCCCACGGTCTATCGCGCCGAATACCAGAAAGTTAACGCACTATTCGAACGAGCGCTGATCCTTCTCAACAAGATGCCGCGCATCTGGGAAATGTACCTCTCCTTCCTGCTCCAGCAGCCCATGGTGACCCAGACTCGACGAACCTTCGACCGTTCCCTTCGCGCTCTGCCGGTAACACAGCATAACCGAATCTGGAGACTGTACAAAGGCTTCGCTCGGTCTGCTTCCGGTCAGACTGCTATCAAGATCTTTGCTCGGTATATGCAAATTCACCCCGAGAACATTGAGGATTACATAGAGCTTCTCGTTGACAACGGTGAATATACGGAAGCCGTGAAGAAATTCATGGATATTCTCGACGACCCACGATTCAAGTCCAAACATGGCAAGGGTCCATTCCAGTTATGGTCGGAGATGGTTGATCTTCTAGTCTCCAAGGCCAAGAAGATTGAGACCGGTCCTCAGGTCGGAATTGATGTCGACGCCATCCTCCGGAGTGGTATCCAGCGCTTTGCCGACCAGAGAGGCAAGCTATGGGCCGGGTTGGCCACATACTGGATCACCAGGGGCAACTTTGAGAAGGCACGGGATGTCTTCGAGGAAGGAATCACTACTGTCATGACGGTTCGTGATTTCACCCTGATCTTCGACTCCTACGTCGAGTTCGAGGAGTCTATCATTGGAAGCTTGATGGAAGGCGCAGCCCTCCGCTCTGACAAGGGCAAATCCGACGAGGATGCTGACTTTGATCTTGACCTCCGCATGCTGCGCTTCGAGCAGCTGATGGACCGCAGACCATTCTTGGTGAACGATGTACTCCTACGCCAGAACCCCCACAACGTCATCGAATGGGAAAAGAGAGTGGCACTCTGGGGGGATAACAAGGAAGAAGCCGTCCGCACCTACACAGATGCTATTGCCGCAATTAACCCCAAGAAAGCACTTGGGAAATTCTCCGAGCTTTGGGTTAATTATGCTAGGCTTTATGAGAACGGCGGGGACATGGATACTGCAAGAGTCATTTTCG